AGAGATTCTTGATTAAGCAGCTTTTACTAGGTATATTGTTTTCACAGTACAAATAAAAATATAAAAATTAAGTTGTGTCGCTTAAAATTACTAAAGCTACTTAAAAACTGTGTTAGTTTTACTTCAACATAAAAAACATTTAACTCCAAAATGTTTTCACTTATCTGGTTTTACTTTGTAGTACGTCATGAATTCTTGATTGAGCCCCTTTAGCTAAAGTGTTACTGCAGTTGAGTGAATGTGGGAAAAATCTTCTCTATAAATCTCTCTCTCTCTCTCTCTCTCTCTCTCTCTCCCCCTCTCTCTCTCTCTCTCTCTCTCTATGTATGCCTTAGAAACAACACACACTATATGGTGTCATACTGGCACACATAATATCTTCTAATCACTATAAAATTATTGTAATATTCCTACGAGTACACAGATTTTGAAATTAAAAAAACATATATTACTTCTACCTCATATTCCAGAATCTCTGAATATGCAAATGTTGTTCATTTCTAAAGTTTTCCTGCTGGACACAAGATGTCTCTTACTTCACTGTAAAGTCCATTCTCAGTGGATGTGCACTGGTGGATTCAAGTTTCTACATCACACTGTACAAGTTGCATACTAGACTGACTTCAAATCCCCCCCTAGTGTCAAACTCTGAACAGACATCTTTCAAACATCTACAATCAGGCTAATACAGTAGCTCCAGAAACCTGAGTAAAGATTATTTAGTCAAATGTATGAACTAAGACAAAGCATTTGGGTGAGGTACTCGCAGCTATGAAAATCAGCCTGAATTGTTTCAGAAGCAGCATGGATGCTAATGGCAAGATAATGACACATGGTTTAATAAAGGTCTTAGACCACTTTGATGTGCACTGGAAATAACTGACATTTTAACTAGCAGTGGTTTTCACACAGTTCAGTGGAAAGCCCATTTAAAGGTGGCTTAATGCTTTAAAGGTAAAGCATGTAAAAATCTCAAAAATGTAAAAGTCTCACATGCTTTGGTAAGACGGGTACTTGAGTTAGTAGTAGGTATAGGAGTTGAAATCTAATAGTACACAAAGGTTATTATGCTATACTATAAGATGTAGAGTAAGGCCACTGCACATGCAAAACTACAGCAGTACAAATGAGATGCTGCTGAAGTGCCCCTCAACAAAAAACTGAACCCCCACTGGTTCAAGTCCTGGTTTCTGTAGCCAACCGTTACCCCTGACCTCTGACCTCTCCAAAAGTAGAAATACTTAATGTATATCAAATAACATCATGTTCTTTAAATTGTCAGTAAAAACTCACACTCTCCTCTGAAAATCACTAGCAGTCTTAGAGCAAGTTCACCTATTTCTTTCATGTCATTACAGCGCCCCCTGCTGGCCACAAGAGAAACTGTCTCAACAGGTAGAAAATATATTGAAGAGTCTGAATGTGGTTCATAGAGGAAGACTAAAGGAAGCTCCCCAGATCAATAAAACTTACTGTTGTTGTGAAAAAAAAAACTTAAATTATATTATAATGCTTTAAGAGGACACTGTAGTGATTGTGTGTTGCACCACCATACAGTGTGGGCACTCAAAAGAGAATTAGGTAGAGAATTATGAAAATATGTGCACTACTACACTTCCCATAATGCATTTTGATAAAGTCACTCTCTACTGTTGTCTTGCATTTCAAACTCCATCCCTCCAGTTCCTAACTTCTGTTGTGAATGTGTAGTCTCTAGTCATATCCACTCTGAAACAACCCTGATGACATCACTATGACATCACCTGGGTTATTTCCTCGGACTTAATAAAGCGCCTGTGTAGTATTCCTCACAAGTAAAATAATCATAATGTGTGGAATAGGTGGAAAATTGCCCTCATATATCTAAATAAAATGAACAGAAAGCATGGGCAGAGACAGGAGAGTGTGACATGCCTCACAGGATTCATGTCAGGGGTGATGAGACCTCCAGGACACCCCTGCCTCATACAGATCTCACAAATAATAATAGTGCCAGGGATGAAGCAAGTTTGCTGAAATGGCTGAGCTCCTGAAAGGCTCCAGTGAATGGGTCCTCCCGGCCTCACTCATATCAACACATGCTCTCGCTCTTTTCACCATAAACACATGCATGTAAACTGAGAGACACTAGGCATTGACACACACAGGTGGCACATTGACGCTAGCTGCCTATTGGCTATTAACATTAGCTGTAACGTTAGCCTCCTGGCTATCGTTTTTCCCTTCAGCTCCATATTTTCGTTCTACTTTCTTTTCTGGTGTTAGAATTTATGTGCAGGGCACAAGGAAATTCACTCCAACATTAGCTAGTAGTTGGTTTAGCCAGCAGTTAGTGTGACACTGTGTACTAAAATGATTTTCAGGAGAGGGGGTTTTCATTATCAAACTGGCTACATTTTACACAGGTTGTGTTTTATACGTATGTTTTGGTTTGTGGACCCCAGGAAGAGTTTGATGTTCTTTAACTGACCTCTGCCTACACAAAGCTCTTCTCTCCATATTTGTGAAGACAAAAGGGGCTCCAAGAAGAAAGAAGAAATAATAAGTAATGGTGAGTAATTTGGTTCCTTTTTCCCCTCTTACGGCCCTGAGGTCATCAACTTAATCAAATCTATATTTGTGGGACATACTGTAGACAGAACTATGTGCTGAACTAGTAGTGTAGATCTTGTAAAGTCAAACTGAAATGAAACTGTGAAACTGAAACAAAATGTTTTCTTACATTCTGTCACTAGTTTTTCAGAAGTGATCAGTGTGTGCTGTGATGCCTCTTTTTAACAGCAGAGGGAGGCACAGTAACATATTATTCCTTCAGTCTTCATAAGTGTGAAGAGAAGAGCTTCAGTTAAAGAACATCATTAACATTCATCATTCATCATCATACGAAACATAAAGTGACGTGCTACTTATTTTATTACATACTTAGTAACATATCTTACACTATTTTTATTATATTATAAAGACTTATTATTACTTAAATCACTATATAACAATACTGTATTACTGCTTTATTGTTATTATTGTGCTTCTATATCATTATGCTATATCATAGTATTCTCTTTGATTTCTTATACTTCATAAAATGGTATTGTTTCTCTATATAACACATACTGGACATATTATAACATCATATAGTAATGTATATATTGCATTTTTTAATGTCACCTCACACATTTTTTGAACCACTTATGGTTTTTGTGGTTGTAGGTTTTCTCCCTTCAAAACCAATTTTTCTGATATTTTTGGAAAGAGACATGGCATCCATCCATGTCTGATGAGGACAGTCAGTCCTTTACACTGTACTAGCTCTCCTGTTAGCATGGTTCAGTCATATCGAAGGAGTTCTTGACACTGGATATGACCTACACTTCACTGTCGACCCCTGAGGAGAAGTCTGCTGCTTCACTGGCTGTAAAACTGGTTTCTTAGTGAAGTTTTTTTTGGGATCTTCTGCCTCATTAGACAGAAAGTCAGAGGTACCCAAATGTTGTCTTTAAAAAGCGCAACACAAAATGTTTCTAACAAGGAAAACCTGGATTTTTAAAGATGTAAAGAATGACTGAAAGCAGAAGTTGAAGTAATTTGTGATGACACATGTTTCAGAAAGAACAAACCAAAAAGTGGCTCTATATAGGGGTGTTCATGGTTTTTGTGCGTTTCACGGTCACCATAGTTTCTCCTTCATGCATGGAAAGGGAAGGTGAAGCGAGAGAGTTGCAATCTGCAACTACACCACTATATACTCCTACACACTGGACTTTTCATTTGACTTGTTTCAACATATATATATATATATAGTATATAATACCAAGAAGAAAGCTGCACTATACACTGTATTTTTTCAATTAACAGTCCCTTTTTCAATAAATCTACATTCCATACAAACGCGATCACGACAGTGTACATGCATGCAATTCCTGTTGCATTTTTTATATGTGATTAGAGGCCAGATCCATACTTCAGATTTCAAGCATGGGATATGATGCCAGTGGGTGAGTCCAAAGTAGTCCATAGGTTTTCATGGAATGTGTAATAATGAATAAAGTCTTGGTAATTCATAAGACTATTGTGCTTTATAATATTTGAATGGTAATGTATTCATCGGGTGTGCCATTGAGAAAAACAGAGCCGAGGACATCTGATACCTATAGATGACTGAAATAGAACACTAACTTTGTCTGAGTAGATTAAACAGAGCAAACACCAGCCTCTGTCATCCTGAGATCAAACAACCACACCTTGATATATCCACCAGAATTTCTAATATTTGAACAACAGTGAGGTGCACTTGTTTTACCTGGCCAGACACAGCTGACTGAACAGAACATGTATTCAAATCAGCTAATCCTCTGTATTTACTCAAAGGATAAGGCTGGTGTTAACTCTGTATTTTTATTTTTTGTCAAGTAATTCCATGTAAAGACCAAGCAAATAATGGATTATTCCATCTCTTTTCTGACTTCCCTTCACTGTCTGTGGCCCCAAGTGCATTTTCTTACATTTCTTAAAAAGGCTCAGTAATTTCCTAAAACAGCTGGGCACTGTAGTTTTTATCAATAACACTAACAATAACAATAACACTATAGTCAGACAGCAGGAAATAGTGCACTTACTGAGGACTATTTTCAGCAGCGGATTAATCCACATTTGGTGCTCTAGTGAGTATTTGGGGCAGCAGGACAGTGTATGTGGGATTGAGTCAAAATAAAGTACAGTAAATGTAGCAAAGGAACATGTGACCCAGTGCCACAGTGTGTTTCTAACAGTTTTTGGACAACAATGGAGTTCTATGGCACAGAGGAAGAACATATATCAGGGTTTGATACAGTTGTTAGCAGATACATTCACTGCTGGTTTGGGTTTTTTCATTGTTGCTTTATAAGAAAAATATAGAATATCACCAGACATATGTTTAATAACAGTATTATTAGAACTACTGTTTCTCTTGGCTCAAAGTAGAAAAGTCACCAATCACCAAAAATCACTATTTCACTTCAGTGTTTTACTAAGTCAGTGTTGTAGTTTATTGTTGCTTTACAGTAACAGTCATCAGTTGTCACAGTTTATTTTAGCTCAGTTTGTCAGACACAGTACCTTAAGAGACTACACACACACACACACACACACCTCACAAACAAACACACAAGTGGCCCCATTTACACCTGCTATTAACATATAATCTGAATGCATTATTTAGGATATTGACATCTGATCCATGGATCTTTGCATTTATACCTGATATTAAAATGTGTTCTTGTTATCTCAATTGTGCTCTGTCAAATTTGTCAAATTAGTCCACACAAGCAGGGCACTCTAGATGTCCCACTAACCAGCAACGCCTTCCAGCTCCTCCTGGTGGGTCCCGAGGTAGTCCCAGGCCAGATGAGATATATAATCCCTCAAGCGAGTACTGGGGTCTTCTCCCAGTTGGATGTGCCCTGAAAACTTCCTCCTTGCATCGTGTAAACCTCTTATCTTAACCCAAATTGTGACTTAAACCTGACCATGTATTTTTGTTCTCTAACCAGACTGTGACCATTCAGAATATGAACCACTCATAAAGACGCTAAGGGTACCTTGTGCTTCTGTCTATAACGCAAAGGGGCATGACAAAATAAAGGCAGTTTCTTATGAGCTGGGATGAGAACACATCTTAAAGGTACAGCTTGTACGATTAAGTGGCATCTACTGATGAAATTGTAAATTGCAACTAACTGAACACCACTCACGTCTGTATTTGACGACTTGGGAATGAGAATGGGAAGTGTGTAGGAGGAACTATGGTGGCCACAAAACTTGTGAAAAACACAAAATTCCCCCAAATTATCTTGGTTTGTCCATGGTGGTCCTCCATCCTAAGATAACAAAAACATAACAATACCTATATTCAGGTGATGATACACTAATGAAAACATACCTATGAATATTATATTCCATTTCTGCCAATAGATCCTCCTAAATGTTACACACTGGACCTTTAAAAATGTGACATTAACACCTGGCTGAGATCTGATCACAATCCAAGCCTGACTGTCTCCAAATGGGGTCTGGCTGACTCATTCACATTCTGATCCCAATGCATTTATGCACCTCATCCAGATAATGTCTCCAGATACAGATGGCATTTTAATTCCAGGTATAAATGGGGTTGATATACACACACGTAAAAGCTGTGCTTGTAACTCTTCCCACTTTCAGTGCAGTACTTGGGAGCAGTGGAGCACTGATGTTAATGGGGGTTGAAGCTGCTAATAGTCCATATTTTGTGAAGACATTCACTGTCATCTACACTTGACCATTTTTATTTAAAGAAAAAAAAGAGGAAAAGTGTTCAGAATTACATTCTTTACACAATGACAACTTGTTCTGACACACAGATAATAAAGACAGTGATATGAACACTATTAATGATACAGATAAGAATAACTGGACCATATCTGATTGGACTGCAATCAACACTTAGCCTATAGACAATCTGCAGAGGGTCCAAAATGATACAGCCACTATAAAGACGGACAGCGATATTCAACATGTAGACTGTAGTTTCAGTTTGTGTATTCATCCAGTTTGAACAGGAAATTATTATTATTATTAAATTTGATTTGTAATCATTTACTTGTACAGTATGTATGTGACCATCAACACTAATGATGAACACAGCAAGCAACCCACAGATTAAAATTCACAAGGCTTTGGATGAGCAGGACACTAATGCAGCAAAACAATTCTATCAGTTTGATATGTGACTGTTGAGCAGTTAGAGGTCAGGTGTGTACATGTGAGACGTCAAAATTCATGTAATGTGAACTAAATGTATGTGTATGGTGGGAGGTTCAATCAGCAGCTGACTTCAGATTTCCCCCCATGGAGCACTGCGCTCACTTCAACACCAGAATAACCTAAGCAGTCTTAACATACTCATTAAAAAGTAACTATTAAACCATATTACACACTTTAACAGATGGAAATCAATGTGAACCCAACCACCAACTCAATACCTCTACACACTGTGTATATTCTCTAATAGGCTGACATAAAGCTAGCAAATTCTATACCGTTAAGTTACTCTATAAATGAATCCGGCGCATTGTATAGAGTATGTTCAAGTGCCATTACTGCAGTGGCAGAGTGGAACTGAACACATTCATACTGACAGTGAAAGCAGAAATGTTTAGTTTAATATAACAATGATTAACAGTTTTTGTCTGAGCACCAACAGTATGTCACCTTTTCTGCTTTAAAATAACTGATTTATTTTATAAGTGTCTGTGCCTTGTTCCTACATTATGTGACTTTTGGCTCTGTGCTGGGATTGCGTAACTCTTTACAGCAGTAGTATTGAACTCACCAGTGTTAGGCTTACTGCCTAACACTGGTGAGTTCAATACTAGTAATAATGTTACAGTAATAATATTACTTTCCTCTGTAACTAGTGGTGTAACTAATTACTAATACATTTCAGAAGTAGTCAGTTATCCCCCCCCCAAAAAAAAGAAAATTTAAAAAAATCTTGTTACAACCGTACTTTTGTTGGCACCCCCTACTGATCTGAAACAACAACCCAATCATTTTCATTCATCACATAAAGTGACCGAAACATGAGGATTTAACAATAACAAAGATTTAGGAAAGAAGAAAAGATTTCCTGGATCCGAAGCTTGTGGCGTTTACTTCCTACTTGTTGTTGGAGCAGCGGATAACTAAATTTCACTGAAAAGTGTATAAAACCTTTATTTTAATGGCATTTGATGATATTTTCTACATATAACAGCTGCTACAGCGTCTCTTGAACTGATTACTTGGCAGAAATGCTTTACATATGTTATAGGGTTGTACGAGGGTTGCCCAGAGAGGTGCAACCACAATAATGGCGGATTGTCCTACTTCCTCCTACAGCTCGGATTCGTCTATAGAAATTTGGCTCTGTTTATCTTTAGTTTTTAGATATTTCCCTTTTATGTTGATTTCAATTTCACATTCAAATAATTCAAAACAAAATAGAAAGAAATACACCAGCCTCAGGTGTACGCACATAATATGTATGCAGCACGTGTGTGTATGTTGAGTGTGTGAACCTGTGTGTTTCAGTGTCTCTGTTACACTCTGTCTGTCAGTGCAGTTAAGTTTAAATGTGTGTCAGTGTGTGTGTGTGTGTGTGTGTGTGTGTGTGTTCAGGGACATCTTGTGGTTCATGTTTCCTCTTGTTTTTACAGCAGAGCCCGTTGTAAAGCCTCCTATCATCTAATCTGGTCACACACACACACACACATTAGCACAATAATACTCAACATATACCTACAGTACACACTCAGGCTCATGGAGGATGCTACACTTATATATACAGTAAGAATGAGATGGGGAGAGGTTATGCAGAAAAAGACACACCTACACACACACACACACACACACACACACACACACACACACACACACACACACAACGCACAATGGGGGTGTGAGATCAATAGTTTCTTTGTCCACCTTCAGTCTGCAGCTGATCTATAAGCACATCAACTTTTGCTCTCTCTCTCTCTCTCTCTCTCTCTCTCTTTCCGTTCCTCTCTTCACACCTCTTCCTTCTTCTCTCCTGTAACGAAAGAAAAATATGGATCGGATTAAAAGAAAAGAGAAACCAGATGTGCTCTACAGCGGAGTATAACTTCAAAAAGAGGGGAATGTTGAAAAGAGAGAGAACTTTTATTGCTCCAGTGTTTCTGTATCCTGTACACTACGGTGTGTTAAATTAGACATTTTACAACTTTTCCACTTCATTCAGACTGCAGAAAAAAACCACCAACTGTAGCAAAGCCACTCCAGAGAAAGGTGTTGATGATATTTCCATCTGCAGTGCAGGACAAAACCTGGTGGGCACATAAATACATACCAGTCATCAGTCAAATGAGCATAAATCCTCTCTGCCTAAATAAGATTCCATTACCTTTTCAGACTCACAGGAAAATGATTGTAATATTATGTATTGCCTCAAGCTACAGTATATTAGCCTGGTTATGCACTCACACACTGGTTAAGTGACTACATTTTTTTAATCTCTCAAAAATGGCAGCCCACAGAACCAGCGTGTGGTCAGCTCACGAAATGCATCAAGAACGCCATCCCATCATATCCTCCTTTCTGTGTGCATAGTTGGTGTATGGATGAGCAAGCAGCAGAAAGTGATGGTGAATGTGAGCGATGCAAAGCAAAAGGAGAGCAGTGAAGCTGTCAATCTGGCAGTAAATGCACAGAGTAGGTTACAGTTTGTCAGTGAATAAAGGCTGCAGCTTCACCAATGTAAAGCTCCCGTGTTTGTGTTGTTTCCCAACTGATGGAATAGCATGTGACTATTTGGCTAAATAATGATAATGTTCAAAGTGTTCCCATCACTACAGGACATCTACACAACCAGGGTCATCAGGAGGGCCCACAACATCATAAAGGACAATACACACCCACAACACAGTCTCTTCACAGTCCTGCCGTCAGCGAGGCGCTACAGGAGTATGAAAGCAAGGACAAAAAGACTCTCTAACAGTTTCTACCCCCAGGCCATCAGACTCTTAAACAGTACAGCCCACACCACCCTCCCCCACACTTAATCACTCCCATTGTGAAGTAATGTCACTCTGCACCTGAAGTGTAACTGTGAGGCATAGAGCACCTTATTCAACTCAGGTTTCTTTGTTTACTGTACAATGTTCTGCACTTTAAGTTGTAAGTTATATTTTATACTAGTTATATATTTATATTAAAAAATATATATATTTTTTATATTCTTACTCTTCTACTTGTGTGTTGCCTCAGGGAGTCGGGCAAAGTAAGGTTTTCATTGTACGTACAAACCACTGTATTTCTCACTGTACATATGACAATAAACCTGTTGAATCTTGAATCTGAATCTTGAATCTCCATGTACCAATCAGAAACAGGTTTGCATTTGCACTGCAGTTTGCAGATGCATTCATTGATTAAACAGTCAGAACCTCAACCAGTGACGAAAAGAATAATGACAGGGTGAATTCTTATTCAGATATAAGTTCAGGGAACAACTGGCAGAACTTCCATGGTCGACCAGAGTGAGTCAATGAAGTGATGTGAGATACTGAAACACAACAAAAGTTATTAAACTATGTTCAGTTTGGGACGATGGTTGTTCAGTCTGGGACAGCTGAAAGTAGAATTTGGGACAGTTGTGGGACACTGGGGGAAAAAAAGTTAGCTTTTAGCTATTGGTGAAATAGCTTGACAGATATGTGATGTACTGATGTGAAACCTGGTACAGATGTTCATTGTCGTCAGAGGAAGAATCCTACTCACGTTGGTGAGCCCCTGATTTCCCTCTAGCACCACCATGAGGTTGAAGTTTTAAGTCAAATATCCAGAATCTAATGAGAAGGACTGCCGTGAGATTTATGTTTTCTTCAGGATGAATTCTAACAGGTTTGGTTATACGTTAACTCGTACTCTAGCGCCATCTTCAGGTCCAAATTTGAATGTGTCCAATACTTTGGTTTACCCATGAAACTAATGACATTCCCATCAACCTCAGCTCTACTTCATGTTTATTACTAATTAGCATATGTTAGCATGCTTACACACTAAACTAAGATGGTGAACATGGTAAACAGTAGATCTGCTTAGCATCAGCATTTAGCATTGTCACTGGGAGCAGGATCAACAACATTGGCTCTTATCAGCTGCTGCTAGCTGGTTGCATTCTCAGATTCATGCAGCCAGCAGCTAGCCCTGGTTTGGTTTCTATATATTTTATCAGGCATGTGAAGAAACTTCTGTCTGAGCTGCAGCCCCCTCTCCTCTCCCACCTCTTCTCTCTCATTCGCAGGTCTTGTCTCAGGTGGGTTTGTGCTGGTGGGACCAGATCAGTATCCGTTTACACTATCAACAATAGTCCTCTGTTTTTTCTCTCCTTTTCCCCTGCCCTCCCTCTGTCTCCTCCTCTTTCATCCCTCTGGCATTCTCACCTCTCTTCACCACAGTACCCCTCTATCTCCCTCCTCTCAACACACCTTTCCTCACTCTGTTTCGCTCTTCCATCTAAACTTCCTGTTACTCTGCATCTCTCTGTCTGCAGTCAAGTCAGTTCAGATCTTCACCGGTATCAGGCTTATATAAACTATATCAACCAGCTCTTCGTGAAGAACTCGATAAGTGTAGCTCTGTACAATAACTGCACTGTTCAGCTCGGCCATCAGGGTCTACACTATTTGGGAGTTCACAGTCTGTGTTGGAATTGTAAAACACAGTTTTATTCAGAGGAAAGGGAATGATTCATTGAAAACAAAACCAGCGAACTGAACAACTGCGTTAGTCATTATGTGATCATGACTCCTAAATACAATGACTGCATGAAAACACCCACTTACAGGATTTTTCCTCTGTGAAGTTTGCAATGAGGTTACCAGTTCTCTCAGCAAACAGGTCATTTGTTTGAAGGAGCACTTCACAGATTTTACAAATAGGGTTTGATTTACATTTCATGAGCAACACTACTCACTATTGATAACTGCTGTTTAATGCCCTCTTTGGTTCTAGAGAAAGTCTTGAGGCAAAAAAAAAAATCGGGGCTATTTTGGCTTGAGCATATACTGTGCAAATTCAGAAATGTTGTTTAATTCCAACTCCTGCTGTATGAGTAAAAAGAGAAAACCAAAGCTCACAATTGATGTACCCACACTGTGGACCATTCTGGCTGTTGACAACTGTCAATAAAGTTATGTCTGAAAGCAGGAATGCCAGAATCGACTTGCGGCTCTGCTTCAACTGTGTGAAAGCCTGACTGGTCATCAAATAATTATATTTGATGAATGGCCCTCGCGCAATCCTGTCCACTGCACGGCACACGACGCCCGATGAAGCTGAAATTCTGTCTGAGTCTAAAATCAGTCATGCAGCTCAAAAATCGAGTCAGCAACGGACTCAAATTGTACATTGTATGCCCAGCTTTAGAGATGACGGTTCTTTAACTAACTAACTAACTCTATGTTACAAACTGGGTCACGGAGCTTGAAACACATGGGCTTTTACCAGTAAGGGAAGGCCTTATGGGAAACGCAGGATCCAGCATTTCAAATGAACTGCCACACCTTAAACATCTCTATAGTGATACAGATGTGACGTATAGTGCGATGCTACTGTACACCAGGATCAAATGAGATCATTTACTGCATGGCAGTCCATGGAGACATTAGGCTGTGGACCAAGGCTATCTGATAGTGATGTGAAAGCTGTGAGAAGAATAAGCTATCAGGAACATAATGTGACACCAAGATTCCTTTGCAGGCCCTTGCTCATCTGTTTTCATACATCTTAACATGCTGACTTGTAGAATTAAAGATAAAAGATGTAATATCCCCAAAAATTCTGAAACTCTGTGCCCTCATTAGTTAGCCAGGACATTCAGTATAAAAGTCTCCTCTGTCTTTTTTTACCCTCCTCATCCACTCTGAGCTCCAAAAGTTCTGCGCTGTCCTCCTGCCGCAGTGCTGCTGAGCTAAATCTGGGACCCCTTCATACACTACATACTGTATATAGGCTAGTCCCAGATTGGTAACTGGGTTAGTTCTTCCAGGGCTCGATCCATTACACTGTGGTTTCAGGGGACCCAAATACCTCAGGGACAGCATGCCTACTTCCATTAAAAGTCTGTCCCTTGTGAGGAAATGTGCTGAACGAACTGAAATACAGAGAACAGTGTTTGTTCAGCAACTGCTGATCAGTTTTCCGTCATTTATGCTTTTAATTTACTATATTTTCATTTAGATGCCAAATTAAAGCTCTGATAATCTGTGTTTTTATATTATCAATGGATTAAATGACTGCATGTAAAGTGAAGGGTGTCAGTATTAATGTAACCTGACTGTGGTAGTTGGTTTCTTACACAGCACTATATGGGAAGTCGTAGTTTGGAAAAGGGCAGACTCGAATTTCAACCAATCAGATCAACTCTCAAGAACTCACAAGCTCTGATAAACCCACTGTCTGCCCAGCACTAAACAGCAAACAGAACAGTATATATTAAAACAAAATGACACCAAATAAATGCTAATGTTGCTGTGTCTGCTGGATGTAGGCAGCTGTTTCTATTACCACTACTTTAGATCCATTATCACATACTTTGGTTCACATTTATGTTCACATTAATGCCCTGTATGTTAAGAGCAGAGCAGGTGTTACCTTCTATACTTGTATGTGTAGGCCTCATAGTTTTCCTGTGTCATCAGTGGAAAGTGCGAGTCACTGGAAGGCAGCACGAACCGTCCGGTCACTGAGTGGCTGTGTAGGACGGAAGTTGTCCCCCAACAACCCATCATTGCCTTCTAGCAACTCTGCCCCTTTGAAATGGGACCGCAGCCTCCGAAACTCCTCGATCTGCACAGACAGACGAGAAAATATTTCAGGCCACACAACATAGGTTTGACCAATATAGTCAAACTGATATACCTAGACTGAGGTGGCTGACAGTTTGGTCCCAACATAAGGGTTAGGGTTAGGGTTAGGGACATCATGGTTTCTTAAAGACACTGCTTTCGTCCTTTGGCTTTCTAAAAATACACATAATTCAAGTACTTCATATGACTTCAAATATTTGCTCTACACTCAGGGGTTAAAGCGTTCAGTGCTGAGCAAAACAAACCTGGCATGGGGAAAGATTAGGAGACTTGGACCCATGTGGGGTCCCTAATGACAGCCAAAGAACCTGTAATGATATAATGATAGTGTGGGAATGAAATGTGAAGACAGCTGACAGTGAATACAACAGTATTGTAAGAGTATGTTTAGCTATTGTTTTCTGCTGATTTCAGTTCTTAACAAACAGGCAGGTGGGTGAACAAACATCCTGTATTTACCCAGCACTAAGTATGAGGTTGTGACAGATCCGGTCGTCTACAATAAACGTCATCTCTTGTTGTTTTCTTGCTCACACCAAAATGTTAAGATCAGAATCACTACAAAAAGGATCCAAAATCTGACTTCCTGTTCACGTGTACATGTACAATTTACACACATATACTGTATCATGCTGGTTACAACAGCCAAAACAAACATGGCAACAGTTCCTGAGCTGTCATGCTATTGGCTTACAGAAGTAGGATTTATGGACCACTGTTGTCAAAGTGCAAAACGTGTAGGCATAGCAACTGTTGAATGACACACACACACACACACACACACACACACACACACACACACACACACACTTGTATGCACATATGCACTGTGCACACACACTCCTGGTCTATTAGCAGTCAATAATAGCTAGAGGTGTGTATTCTAGGTAAGCAGGACCTGCTGTTTTAAAACACTTCTGCTGTTGTACATGCAGTGTGACTATGGTTGACACATGATACAGAAAATACATCACTATAGTACTCAAAAATAAGGTAATATATACAGTGCATAATATTGTCTGTTCAGTACATTGTAGTCATGGTGTTGTAATGACTACATGGGTTTTTGTGACCCACTTTCCCACTTTCCCACTTTTCTGCTTGTTTTATGTATTTCCCAGAATGCCTTTAAACAACCTCGAGGAGCACAACTCTGTGGTAAGGATATCTCTAATTCAAGAGTTTTCAAACTGTGAGGCCACCTCCCCAGAGTGGCACATTTGGAGGGAGGGTTGCAAAAGGAGACATGAGACAAAGACAGAGTGAAAGAGACATGTGCATGCTGGTGTTCTAAAAACAGGAAGGTAGTTTTTGTACTCTGATCTGCTGATTTGATCACAATTACAGTGACGTTGATTCATGTGCATTATGAAGTCATCCACATTAGTATGGCCATAGCCTTAGGAGGAGGACAACCACAAGTCCTTCTCTCTGTTAACATTTCAAAGGGTCAGCAGGCCAGAGGGCAGCAAGGATGAAAGACTAAAATAAATGTCAGAGGATTACCATCATCATCCTTTGCTTGAAGAGAGCCATGAGTCAGGCAAGGGCTGAATTCAAGTTTAGATCTATTTAAGGCAATGTGACAGGCTCATTGATTGGCCGTGGGTGTAAAGGCTTCCTGTACTGCGGTGAATGCCAGAGTGCCTCAGGTTAGTGGTACTGTGTGGTATGAATGTCACAAAAGGGCCTGGCAGTGATTGTATCTTGGATGGGATGTAGAAAAAAAGAGAACAGAGCTCTGACATTATTCACTGAAGGTAGCTAGATGATCTTAGCTTAATATTATGAAGTTAACCTAGGTTTAGGGTTACCAGAACATTAATATTAAAACCTAAATTAGCTGACGCATTGTTAGGTTTAATCAGTACTGATGAGAGAGAGAGTTAACCCTAACCATGTGTATACATGGCTGTGGTTTAATGTCACTATTGGTGTAAACTCAGGCATATGTCTAAAACTGCTGTGTCTACTGCAGGGGTTCTCCGGCTCTGCAGAGCAATATTTCTCATGGAGTTTGTCAGAAAACCAAAACAGTGAGCTGAAAGACATTATAACACTCCACAAGGCTGAGGTGAACAGCAGAGTTCTGTGATAATTCTATGTTGGTTTGTCACTATTAGCAACCCTGTTCACATAACGTGGTCATTACATCCATTGTTAATATAAATACATTGATCAGGTAGAAATGGAAGAATGGATGCAGTCACAAGTAAGGCTGGACTCACAATGGACAGTTAGCAAAGGTAAAAATTGATCCAGCAGAACCAGAGTCATGCTAATAGCTGGCTAATGTATATACATCACAGATTAGGAGCAGGCTATTACCTGTAACTGTGAGATGGTGAGAGGGTAGCGGTAGAGGATCCAGGTCACATTTTCACTACAAGGTGGTGTGGTCAGAGATCCTTCATACACCCAGTAGTCTCTCAGTAAAGGATCTGAGGGCAGATTAAACATTTAACGTAAAATGCTTAAAACATGTCAGTGAAAGCAGCTTATATTACCTGCCTGTACATCGTGATAAACAATCCACTGTTCTGGAAATGGCTCTTTTGATAGTAAAAGTTGCTGTCCCCTCCCTAGAGCGCAGGGGCAGAGCGGTTGTTTATTTGAATATGTTAGTCGATTCGGCCTGATTCATTAATCATTTATCTGACTGAGGTTTGGTCAAATTAGAAGATATGGCCCCAACCATGGCTCTGAAATATCAGTATCCCAACTATGTGGTGTACTGATAAATCCAGTGCTGTCCATGGTGCTGAAGTAGCAGGCGGACATGTGATTGCGTCCTTCTCTCTTAGTCCCGCCCTTCTGTCAGTTAAATCTTGCATCTATAATAATAATATTTTCTCAACTATACACTATAAACACTCAGTTCTATGACCTATACACCATAGAGTAGTGACACATTCATGATCAAAGTGACAAGTAGCAATGTGTAGTCTTGGAAGAGCAAGGGGATTAAAGTGATACACTGCTTCCTGTAGTATTCCTATAATATTCCTGTCTGTTCTGCCTCAGCCTAACGCCTCTTAAACTTTGTTCTTTCACCTGTCAGATTCTGCCTGTGCAACAGTGCAACGGTAATTTTGCTTTGAAGTTATGTAAAGTGATGAAAAATCTGCAATTTACAGAGCAGTGCTAAAATATGTGGACACAGCCCTACACCCTTTCAGCACAGTAATCTCTGTGGTGTAGGTCTGATGCTCACTGAAATAAAAACAGTACATATTTTGTAAGAAAGAGATGTCTAAATTAAATCCCCTTCCAATCAGCTACCCACAAGATTCAATTAGGGATTCGAAAGGATTAGGATTCATCACCAACATTACTTGATACTACTACTAGTGATTGTGAATAATAAGCTGGCATTAAAGGACCAGTGTGTAGGGTTTAGTTGCATATAGCGGTAAGATTGCACAACCGACTGAAACCCCTTGTCTCAACCAGGCACGTAGGAGAAACTACGGTGGCTAAAAAACTCGTGAAAAACATGAAAAGCCCTATCTAGCTAGGCTATCGAACTAGTGTTTGGTTTTAAGAATGAATGGATTGATGAGAGGATGATAGCGACCCAGCAGGCTGCCATCTTAAGAGAGCCGTGGTGGTGTGATCATTTTTCCCAAGACTTCTTAAACTCATGATGAATTTAAAGTCAATTTCTGCTCACCAGGTAACAGAGTGTTGGGGTTGAAGCAGGGGATTATCTTGTTCTTCCCCTGATGGAAATACAGAGACACAGCAATAATTAATGTTATCATGTATCCAGTTTAACAATGTGATTGTGATGTGATTGAATCTGATGTCATAAATTACCATCTAATCTGTCTGATCTTTTCAGTGTTATTCTTACTTTATATTGCAGGTCCTGTAGAACTTCAGTGATTGCCTTCAGACCCAGATGCTCCTTACCGATCTGAAAAAACACATTTCAGGTTTCAGTGAGTGATCAGTTGGTAGCCACATATCAATATATCTTATGAAGAAACTGTTATCAGTGATTGTCTTAAAGCCGTCAACAATGTTTTAAGAAGATTTTAGTTTACACCCACTGTATCTTTACAGGAAGTAAACAGGAAGTAAAACCTAAGGGAGCTGTCAAAAACAGGACGTGTGAGGTTGAGTGTGTCATGGCTGTGGCCTCAGGAGGTCAAGGCTGTCTGGGGTAGAACCAGAAGCAGACTGCTAGCTGGTGTTTTTTCACTGGGTGTGTTTTCCTCAACTGGTGTGACTCAGATCTCTCTCCTAAAAGCGAGCTTTGCTTTCTCTGAGGTTTGATTGTTTTCATTAAAGTGGCATAAACCTTCCCACAGTTTTAATTGTTTTCTCAGCAGGGAAACGGAGGACCACTTAAATGCGGATGCCAATTCATAGGAATGCAGCAGAAGGTGTTTGCTTGTATGATACTATTACACAGGATGGTTCAGGCTAATGTGGAATGAGCCTGTTCAGTCATTTAGAAAAACAGCACTTACAATCCCAGGAAGGAAAAACAGAAGACTTGCTGAAAAAGGGGGGAAATGCATGCAGCTACATTCAAACGGTTCTCAGCTTATTAGGTACACCTAGCTAAGACTAATGCAGTCTAACACAACTGCCCTGCAATAAATCAACCCTTCGTGAAGATTATAATGTATAATTATTAGGTTGTGAAATATAATTATAACCTTACAATGTATAAAGTTGTAGATTGTTTTTATTGGAGCAGTTTCAGAAAGCTGTTTTTGGTGTTGGTCGGTGAAATTTCAGGCAGAGGTGCTTTGTTGGGGTAGCTGAAGAAGACTGTATGGGTTATTTATCTCAGGCAACATTGGGATTAGCTTGCTACTAGCTTTACACATCCTTAGCAAGACCCCAGGAGGAACGCTGGGCTTTGAAACCAATTTTTACACAGCGACAGTGGCCAAACCGTGGAATTACAGCAATGGCATCCGTCATGTGATGCACGCTGGGCCAAAAATACTTTTTCCCATTAAGTTACATTGCAAAAGAAGCTGCTGTAAAACAGTGGATAAATTTTTTTGAGTAATAAACCCCCACGAAAACTGGTTCCATTCAGTTTGATAACATTTTTTAAGTCTATTAGTTTATTAGGCCATTATTTATACCCATCCAAGTTAGCTAAACCGAGAGTTAGTGGGCTCAGCCAGCAGAAGTCTCTAATAAAGTCTCTAGTTCCTCAGCTTTCACAGGAAAAAACAGAGGGCCGCCTCCAACGTTGTTTCCAGTTCTCTTTATACATCCTTGTGTCAATGGTTCTGAACTGGTTGTTGTTGGCTAGCATGTCGTTAGCTGACGGTGTTACCTGGTGTAACAGGTTGTGGGCTTTGTTGCTTGCTAAGGCGGGGTAGTTGAGGACATACTGCCAGTGGTTTAGGATGATTGTGTTGTTTGTTGCTTGGGGGGTTGAGCGGTGAGCTGCCGGTGTTAACAGAATGCTGATTGTTGGTTCTCGGATGCTGGAACACATTGTTTAGCCTTCCCGGGGTTGTAGGCCCAACACCAGTTAGACTATTGAGAGAGTGCCTGACTTGCACTCACACACAAATTCACATTGAAACAATATTATTTTTTCTTTGCCTTCTTCAAGGACATGATTCATGAATTGTTTCTCTTACCAGAGTGGTTGCTCATTAGTGGCTGTTTAGTGAGACTAGTGGAGACAAATATACAGTGATGGTGGTTGGACAACTGAGTGGGCTATGGTATTAAAAGGATCTGGCCTATTGCCTATAGCCAGATAGGCCAGCCATTAAAGTTTAGGCTTAGCACATATAATGTAGGTACAATACGGGTCAAGCTGCCGAGTATCAGCTTTTTGCTTTGGCAAGAGTGGCAGCTTAAGAGTAAGTCAGGAAAATGGTGTCGCCTGTCAGAGGACTTTGTAGATTTATGTTGGCAGAGCCTGATACACACTGAGGGCCTAGTGATAGCTCAAAACCTCATTTAACATGAATACTGGGCTTCCACAAGAGTGCTCGCCCAACCTTTGGCACATTATTACACAAATTTACTGTGTATTGATAACTGTTATCTGTAACACAATGAAAAAAATGACAAAATACTTATTATTATTCAGGCTTCAAGGTAATACAAACTAGAAAACGAGAGGAAAATAAAGCTAGATCATACAGTATGTATATTTAGTCAAGTGTGTATACTGTACTAATCTTGATCTCTGTTGGCCAACCAATCTCTTATCTGGCCACTACTTCAGCCTACTGGCTCCTTATGTGGGTGTTTACCTGCACAAAAAGAGCGATGATGAGGACTCCATTCTTCTTCCCGAGAGCGTCCTCCAAAGTGTTAAACAGAGTGCTGTTCCAGTGGATCAGGTGGAGCTAAGACAGACAGAGAGACAACAGAAAACAAGCTGTATTTGAGAGGCCATTGTTGTAAACAGGTGTAGGGAACAGTGGGTAAGAGAGTGAGAAACCATCAGCTGGGGATGACTGAGGGCTTTCTATATGGGCTCTTATGTCAAGTTAACGTAAACAAAGAGAATGTAGTGCAAAACTTCTACCCTCAGACAGGTCAATATCAGATCAGACCACAGATGATAAGATTGAAAGCTGGCATGGTATTTATCTTACTGTAATATGGAAAAAGTATTATGTAAAATCTCAGTAATCCCTGAGCTCTCAGCCTTGTTATCAGTAGTTTTAGCCAAGACCTCCAATTGAGCATTGATTTTGTGATTTGCAAAAGTGGTCAAAAGCTATCCTGAGTTCTAATTGACATACTGTTCAAATATGTATCCTATACAACATTCAGACTGGATCTGTGCCCAGGTTCATACCATGCTGTAGCATAACCCTTTAGTTTACTGAAATGAGCCATGGTAAACTTTAGAGCTGAGTAATTCCCCCTTTTCTTTGTGAGAAGATGATTGTGTTATTTATGCTTTCATTCTTATTTCTAAGGTTAAGGATGGACGAATAAAGTGTTAAGCTATACCATACCAAGTTATACCATTTGCTAAAACATTTTTTAAGTATTAACTTTATACATTGACCCCATGAATGAAGCAATGAAGAGAAACATCAAGTACCATCAAACTGAGTGAGCTGGTGTTGCAGTTTTGGCATTTCCAAGGTTTCAGTTTTGACCTTAAATTTCAACGAAATATCGGAAGATAGTGTCAGGCCCGTTCTCATTCCCAGGTCGTCAAATACAGGCGCGAGCAGTGTTCAGTTAGATGCAATCTGCAACGTCACCCCTAGGTGCCGCTAAATCCTACACACTGGCCCTTTAAACAAAACTAGATACACTGTGTGAATGAGTATATTCTACAGGTGTGTAGTAAGGATGTCTAGTTTTCAGTTTTGGAGAGATCAGACCAGCTTTTTCCCCTGCTTCCAGTTTTTCTGCTAAGCTAGGCTGATTGCCTCCCGCCTCAGGCTCCAGACTAACTGTTTCATCTTTTTAAATATTTGACAAAATTCAAACTTAACCTAATTTTACCAAATTAATTTGAGCTCTTCTTTAAGCCTATGTTAAGTTTATAAACATATGTATGGACACAACCTGATCTAAAGATTCCCTAAACACACACACTCATAAAAAATATATTCATTTCAGACTATGACATTTATTTTTCCACCTTCAGCTTCATATGTCAAAAGTGTTGCTTGTAAGAGAAGAAAAAACAGTTTTTGTTCAAGGACTCAACAAGCTTCGATGTTATCTGAAGGACAAATGTCAGTGCCAGAAGTCTAAACATATGTACACTGCAGTTCTTTAGTCTTTTAGAGGCTGCTGGTCTGCACCCCACTCCACGGTCATGGCCTTATGTCTGTGTATGTGTGTGTGTGCGTGTGTGTAGGTGTGTGTGTGTGTGTGTGTGTGTGTGTGTGTGTGTGTGACTGCACTACCTCCATAGGGAAAGCCTTGAAGTTGACAGTGTGCTCTGATCCTCTCTGGTTCTCTTTGCCCCAGTGGAATCGAACCTCATGAAGCTCATACTCATGATCACTAGGCAACGGACCCCCAGTAACCACTGGCAACAGTGCAGGAAACCCGGGGCATTGTGGGAAAGCACACGCAGGAAATAGAAGACAGATCAAAGCAGTCAGAGTTAAAGTACAAGTGAGAAAAGGGGTAATTTGCTGAAAGGCTGGACTTACTTTTGTGTCACCTACTGCTAAACCACAGTGACTGACAACAAAACTAAACATTCATCCTGCCTTCTCATCACTTCTTAAATGAGTCAGTGGTGAGAGGAGCCTATTACTCAGCACTAATAGAAGAAAATAAGAACAACCCTAGGTTCCTCTTCAGCACTGTAGCCAGGCTGACAGAGAGTCACAGCTCTATCGAGCCACATATCCCCATAAACTTAAGTAGCAATGACTTCATGAGCTTCTTCTATAATAAAATTATTACTATTAGAGAAAAAATTAATCACCAACTGCCATCAACAGTTATCAGTGGCTCTCCAAGTTCAGGGACTTCTGTCAATGTAAACTTAGATGTATATTTAGACTGTTTTTCTGCTATCGATCTTCATCAGTTAACTTCAATCATTTCTTCATCGAAGCCATCAACCTGTCTGTTAGACCCGATCCCAACTAGGCTGCTTAAAGAAGTTGTTCCCTTAATTGGCACTTCTTTACTGGATATGATTAATCTTTCTTTATTATCAGGATATGTACCACAGTCCTTTAAAGTAGCTGTAATTAAACCCCTTCTTAAAAAGTCCACTCTTGACCCAGGGGTTTTAGCCAACTATAGACCGATTTCTAACCTCCCGTTCCTCTCTAAGATTCTGGAGAAAATAGTCGCCAAAGAGTTGTGTGACTTTCTACATAACAATAGTTTATTTGAGGATTTTCAGTCAGGATTTAGAGCTCATCATAGCACAGAGACAGCTCTGGTTAAAATTAATAATGACCTTCTGACTGCTTCTGACAATGGACTTGTCTCTGTACTTGTATTATTAGATCTTAGTGCTGCATTTGACACCATTGACCATGATATTCTTTTACAGAGACTTGAGCATCAAATTGGCATTAAAGGAACTGCCCTAACCTGGTTTAAGTCATACTTATCAGATCGTTCTCAGTTTGTACATGTTAACGATGAATCCTCCATAAATACTAAAGTTAGTCATGGAGTTCCACAAGGTTCTGTACTTGGACCAATACTATTTACTTTATATATGCTCCCTTTAGGCAACATTATTAGGAATCACTCCATTAACTTTCACTGTTATGCAGATGATACGCAGTTATATCTATCAATCAAACCCAATGAAATTAATCAATTATCTAAATTACAAACATGTCTTAAGGACATAAAATCCTGGATGACCTGCAATTTTCTGATGTTAAACTCAGAAAAAACCGAAATTCTTGTTCTTGGCCCCAAAAACCTTAGAGACTCATTGTCTAAAGATATAGTCACTCTAGATGGCATTAACTTGGCCTCTAGCACCACTGTCAGGAATCTTGGAGTTATCTTTGATCATGATTTGTCATTTAACTCCCACATAAAGCAGACCTCTAGGACTGCCTTCTTTCATTTACGTAATATTAGAAAAATTAGACACATACTATCACAGACAGATGCAGAAAAACTAATCCATGCATTTGTTACTTCAAGGCTGGATTACTGCAACTCTTTATTATCAGGTTGCCCCAATAAGTCCATTAAAACGCTCCAATTAATTCAGAACGCTGCAGCACGAGTACTGACAGGAACTAGAAAAAGAGATCACATCTCTCCTGTACTAGCTACTCTGCATTGGCTCCCTATAAAATGTAGAATTGAATTTAAAATCCTCCTCCTCACCTATAAAGCTCTTCATGGTCAGGCCCCTTCATATCTTAAAGAGCTCATAGTACCCTATTACCCCACTAGAACACTACGTTCTCTGAATGCTGGGCTACTTGTGGTTCCTATAGTCTCTAAAAGTAGAACAGGAGCCAGAGCCTTCAGTTACCAAGCTCCTCTCCTGTGGAACCAGCTTCCAGTTGTGGTTCGGGAGGCAGACACCCTCACCACATTCAAGAGTAGGCTTAAGACATTCCTCTTTGATAAAGCTTATAGTTAGGGCTGGATCAGGTGAGTCCTGAACCATCCCTTAGTTATGCTGCTATAGGCCTAGACTATCGGGGGATTTCCCATGGTGCACTGAGCTACTCTCTTCCTCTCTCTTTCTGCACTCATTCATGTCCCTTTAATGCATGTTACTAACTCCACTTCTTCCCCGGAGTTCTTGTGCTTTCTCGTCTCGCAGGTTCTCATGGATCCTGGTGGAGCCTCCTGCCATGGTCCTGCTTGACTGCCATTGCCAATACTGTTGTTGCTGTGCACCTGTCTGTCTGTCGCTCTCTCTCTCTCTCTCTCTCTCTCTCTCTCTCTCTCTCTCTCTCTCTCTCTCTCACCCCAACTGGTCGAGACAGACGACCACCCACCTAGAGCCGGAGGATCTGTCCTAGGTTTCTGCCTTTTAACAGGCAGTTTTTCCTTGCCCTTGTCGCCAAGTGCTTGCTCATGGTGGTACTGTTGGGTCTCTGTAATTAATGTTAAAGAGTTCGGTCTAGACCTGCTCTATTTGAAAAGTGTCCTGAGATAACTTCTGTTATGAATTGGCGCTATACAAATAAAATTGAATTGAATTGAATTGAATTGAATTGTCGTCACGTCCCCTGGAGTCACCTGATTTGGACTTGAGAATGATGCGCACAGTGTGTCCGTCGTTGATGACCTCGCAGTCTCGACACACCACGTAGTTTGGCGATAGGCCGACATCCAGGAGGGACGGGTCATACTGAGCCTCCCGGGAGTTCAAGTTAATGGGAGACTGGTACTCGCCGTTGGCTGCTGGGAAGTGGAGTCCCCATTCTACACCTATGAGTGAAAACAGGCACACAAAACACATATTATATATTACATGTACCTTATGTCTGTGTTTAATTCATACCCTTAACCAAAATAATTTTTGCATACCATTACGGTAACTATGAAACAATGAGTCAAAACACAAGCAAAGAGGCCAAATTTCATATTCAGGTTTGTGAGCATATACATATATACAAACATATACAATAAACCTTTTTCACTGGTCATAGTTGGGAAAGCACAGGTGTTACTAACATTGACAATGACTTTGTTCTATTCAATTGTCCCAGTCAGCTATGACAGTGTGACAGTGAGCCAGCATGAACAATGAAGCAGATAAATAGAATCCAGCCATCATTTATTTTTTATTATTATTATGTTTTATAATTTATTATCTGTGCTTTGCCCACTGTGACATGTCAAAATGTCTTTTGTAAAAAAAAATTACCTATTCCATTTAAGTGTTTTGTAAGCCATGCAAGTAGCTGTAGAATAAGTATTCAGATCCTAGTGGCAATACCATACTGTATAAATAAATTACACGTAAAAGTCCTGTATTGACAATTTTACGTGGAAGTGTATGAGTATTATTGAAAAAATGGCTTAAAAGTATCAAAATAATAATAATAATAATAATAATAACCCTTTTTTTAAATAAGACCTTTAAATGAGTTTACAAAGTGCTTTGACAGACAAAGCAAAATGATTGTCAGGATACACAAAATGTAATTAAATATAAAAATACAGAATACCAAAATATATTAATAAGAGCAGAATAGAAGCCATAAAAAATGGAAATAAAAATTACGACATCCTATGAAGGCAAGTTTATCAAAATGGGTTTTAAGAAGTGATTTAAAAGGGAGTCCCTTATTCTGCTAAACTAGAAGTACTGCATGGAAACAGAAAAGAGGAAGAAAATGGCCATTACTAGTACACACAGCTCAGTGACACCTTTAAATGTCTTGTATTGTCTGACCATCAGTCAGTCTAAAGCAAAAAAAAAACCTGTACCTGAAAAATAACGAGCTTGTAAAGATCGTCTATACAGTAGCTCAAGTATAAACAAGGAAGATGGAGTCACAAAAGTACAGTTCATTGACCAAGTTAGCTCTCCCTGATGCGTCATTTAGACAAATCACATTTCTACTGCACTAGACTGTAAGGGTTCCAGGAGGTTCTGCCTCTCTGAACTTTCATCTGTTAAAACAGACACAACTCTGGTGGTGAGCCCTGTTAAACAAACGGACACACCTCAATGGAAGACAGTTATGAAGAACAGATTGGTGTGCCACACCCGTAAACTGGTTTTAAATGAATCCAAAAATCCAGAGTACACTTTAACAAAGAGAAAAGTATCTAGCTGGAGGTGTAGAGACAGACTTGTGTATTCGGTATGAAGGGTTTTCCACAGTTTTTTCAAACCATATCTTCAGTGTGTTCTAGGTCTGTATAAAAGTGTGTGAAAATCTCTTCATATGTAAGTTCCTAATCTCTGCTCTTGTGATGTACCCTCTTTTAATATTTATCTATGGTCTATATGACTTTTTATCATGAATTAATAAATGAATCGTCCATGTGCTCTCACAGGTTAGTAAATTTAACAACTGTGTATATTGCAATAGCTATATTCAGGATTTCTTTAAACTGAAAATTGTTAGGATTAATACTAAGTGTGTCCCTGTGTGGGCACTGCTGCCACAATGACTAAATAACACATATAAACTAAAACAAACTTTTTAACAGAAGACAGTTGTACTCTCACTATAACAGGAAATGCACAGGTATAATTTATAACATTATAGAGTGCATTTGTAGGCCTACCCCGAAGTTAGCATTAGCAAACTAGCAAATTAGAAGTTGACAAAAAGCCAATAGGAATTTTTCATTGGATTTGGGATTTTTATAAAAGAAATAAGCCTTGTTTGAACAAAGGTTTATGATAATTGCAGTTTTGTTTAGCATGATAAAAAAAACACCACTCTTTTGAAGCGTAAATGCAACCGCTAGCAGTAAAAAGCTAACGTTAGGCTAAACGAACAACACCATGGTGGCATGACTTCAACATCACCACTACTAACGCACTGACAACCTGTCACTGACAAAAGCTTCAGAATTCACCTGGGGGTATTTACTCATGTATTTTATCTCATAGAACAGCTGTGTTAACAACAGGCCTTATTTCAGGCATTTAACCAAAAACCCATTTAACTCATTTATTAATTCACTGACTTTGAGGCGTGTGAACCCGACATGCTAAAATGCTAACTCATTTCCAGGTTTTAGGACTCATTCCTGCAGCACTCTATTGCTCGGTTCAGTGTGCCTAGTAAATAATTAGTGAATAATACTATTGTTAATTACCCTGGTGCTTTTCCTTCCATTAAATGTGAAATATCTGCAAGGAGAATTTCTGCGTACACGTATACACACATACATTGTGTGTTAAACTGGTCCAAACATATCGAAGAGCTATGCTGCTGTATGAAGCACACTGATGAAACTGGTTCTTATGTAAGACAGCAAATAAGTATCAAAGCCAGCGTATTGCTAAGAGATTCAGTTAATATTTGGTTTTATTCTTTGTTTAACTGTTGTGTAGTCCTTGTCGTGGTCCGAGCCTATTTTAAAAATGTATTATAAGCTAAAGTAAAGAACATTGTGCAAATAACATAGTACAAATTATTAGCAAAACAAATAAATAACACATTAACTAACAAATTACAGTTAATAAAATATAGGTATATAAGTTGGCTCACTGTAAACGCTCCGCTACACTAAATGGAACAGAACCTTGATCAGTATCATTGGTAACACCTGTGTTTACTACTATTTCATGTAAAAAACAACAACAACAGAATTGTAGTTAGGGCAGGTGAACAACATGGGTTGTTGTACATTTGAGCGTCTTTTGGAGTGATAACGTCCATTCTTGGCCTTGGAAAATGAAAAGCAATTTTGACAGGATGAAGTGATGAAGATGTGATTAAAAGCTAGTAAGTGGACTTTGAGGTACATTTTTTTTAGTGAGTGTATTACCCTCAACCTTCTTCTTCATTTCCTTGCTATTTCCATCATCCTGTCAAGGAACAAATTTATATCGAGGCCAGTTCCTCTGTGTAGAACATATTTTAGAAACACAAACCATTCGTCTCTCTAAAGTCTAGGCTGGTTGCTTCCTCTCTGAGTGTCCAGTTTGTGAACAGGATTTCATGTGACAGTAAGATAATTGCTGTACAGAAGGTTTGTAAAAGAGACTGAGATACTGCAATATCTTAATTTTAAATGATATCCGGTGAAAACTGTCTTATAGGTTAAAAGAGCAATGCTGTTGCCACCTACTTACCTTCGCTTTCACTGGCAAAGAGTGAAGAAACAGAGTAGAGAAAGTGATACTACGTAACATCAAAGGTACACACTGGTCTGGATTCACTTCGGCTTTTTGCTGACCACAATCAGTCTAGTAGCACAATGAGAACACTGTAAGACGTGTGGAGCCCAGTGTGTTTTTAAAAGGAGGAAATGAACACATTTGGTGAGTATCGTGTTCAGGAAAGCCCACGTCCCTCCAAGAAAATGAACTCAGCTCCTCGCAGTATGCCTTTCTACTGCAGCAGGGACAGACACTGGCTGACTGCTCCCTCCATAGCAATGAGGGGTGAGGGGATCCGTCACATTCCCTCCTTCCTCAGCAACTGAAGCCTTGACAACAAGTTACCAAAGGCAGTAAGGGTTTCACTGCTGCTACTATACACATAAAGGGACTGGGCAAGATTCTGTGCTGCATGTAGGGCCATAGAACTATCTTTACAGTACATAGGACTAATAGAGAGTGTTGTCACATGGTGCAACAACAATTACCTGAAGCTCGGTATCAGCAAAACCAATGAGCTTGTGGTGGACTACAATGCTTCAAATATGGATGTTTCTGAAAAGAAGCTTCTGTAAGGTGGATACTTACACACATCTTCAACCCGGCAGCACAGATTTATATAATCATGAAGTTTCAAGGTGGGCACCCAAGATAAGTGTCACCAATTCAGTATTCATATAGACCCAATGTATAATACGGTTGCAATTTCCCCTTCTGTTCCTGAGTCAGGGCACTGGATTATGGCTGATGGCTGATTTGGACCACAAACTGGCCCATTCCATGTCATTTGGACTATTCACACTGAAAAAAATCACATCTGAGTCACATATGAGCAAAATCCGATTTGGGTCACTTTGACCTGCAGTCTGAATGAAGCCTAATCAGTCAAACATCCTTTCATCCAAGGGGACTTTTGTACTGGATGTAATGAAATTCCCTCTAGGAGTTCCTGAGATATTGCGTTCTCGAGAATGGGATGGACAGACTACCCAAAAACATAATGCCCCCGACCAGAGCTTTTGCCAGGACGGAGGCATAAAATTTAAATAGGAGTTGTGTTACACCTGGGCAAATCCCAGATCAAGTTATGGAACAGGATGAATATGTCTTTGCTGTTAGCAAGAAAGTCATCACCCTGATATGGTTGCAAGGCAAACCATCCAACAAAGGACACCTGAACTGCATTTGTCAATAAAATGAACTGTGATTATGATATAAACAATATATACTGGAAAAAAATTGACCTCTGTCCTGCTCTCATTATGGACATACTATATGTGAGTTAAATGCACTCTAACCAATAGACTTTCTCTCTTTAGTTGGGCCATGATGTTTATCCCCTAGAGTTCTGGGGTTTATTGGAAATGGTGTTTGTTAAAGCTGCAGTAGATTATTACAATTTTTATTTTTTTTTATATTTGCTGAAACTTTCACTATTCCTGACAGTAGAACATGAGACTGTGAAAAAATCTGATCCACTTTGGGTTGGTGGCTTGAAGATAGTTAAATGTTGAGTCTCATTCCCAGTGTCAGTGTTTGACAACATGGGAATGAGACTCAACAATCAACAATGAGTCTCATGTACTACTGTCAGTATATAGTGAATTTTTCAGCAAACATAAGGGTTATTTTCATTTGAAGTTACCTACTGCAGCTTTAACGTTACATCCTAGAAGTAGTTTTTTACAGATCCAGATCCACATTACAGCAAACTTTTCCAAATATTTTGTTATTAAAATTAGAAGTGTAGTGGACTGTCCGGCCTTGGAGGAGCTTTATGTATTTGATAATTAATATCCTATCCTTGTGTAGAGTTTTTACTGTTGCTTAACTGTTGCTGCAGGCTTGTTATTTTTCCATAAATAGTCTATAAGGGCATTTGGAAGAATTATAAATTATTCTTTACATTGTAGATAACATTAATTTATAAAACTAATTGTTCCAAAAGACATATATATATATATATATATATATATATATATATATACACACACATCTTATATAGTAATAACATCAAGTGTCCTGGAGAAAGTCTTTCATCCCACATACATAAGATGGTTCTGTGGATGATAGTGTGTAAAGAGTAACCAGTTAAAAGGTTTTATAATATCTATGTCAATGGGACATCCAATTACAATTTTCCCCCTTTTCAGACAAAAGGTTTCCACAGGACACGGCTGTTATTGGCAAGCCATATATAAGAGTTTCATTCATGCATACTAAGTGTAACATATCATTTTGTATACTTACAGTAAGAATTTTACAGTTCAGTATCCCAGTGCATCCCTCCATGCTCAGTAAAGGCAGCAATAAAGAGAAGACAGAGTGAAACAACACAAACTAAATGGCAGTCCTGAATATTGAGATTAGGCTGTGCAGAGCTTTCAGTTTCCCTCAGCTCCAGGTAAGCCTTTCCACAACAGCTGGACGGTGTCTCGTTTCACTCTGACCTGAGGCCAAACAATGTACCAACTGACTTGACAGCTAGTTGAAGGAGCACTTCACCAATTATACACATAAAGATTAGCTCACCTGTCACGAGGAGCCGCCTATGCAAACAGTATAATGTCTTCTGTGATAACCCTGATGATGTCCATATCAGGGTTATGGACAAACAGGGTATTTCGTTATTTAATTTGGAGGACTTGAAAGATTTTGTTACGTGTGCCACTAATGTCAAGCAGATACAAAATATTACACAGATGTGATAACTGCAGCTTAAATCCACCACTTTATAATTTATGGATGAATTCAGTAACTATGTTTTTCATGCCATGATGAAGTTAAGATGATTAAAATCTGGTGGTCAACATGAAGCTATAGGATCGTTAAATGATCCTGTGTTTCTATGTTAAGTTTAGACTTTGTTTAAAGAAATTTTGAACTGGCAATACAGAATGGGAAGAAACCATCAGTCTTTCAAAGTGTTGCAATTGCATTGTGGGAATTGTAGGATCCAAGGAAATCTAGGACATCTGCTGCATCTATTTTGACAATGCTGTTGTAATTGTTGTGAGTCGCTTTATAGGAGTCTAACAGCAGAGTTTGACTCTAGAAGGATGTTTTCACATTCATCTGCTGAAAGTGGAAAGTTTCTTTGTGCTCATTCAAAAGCTAATTTTTAAGGGGCGGGGCCTACCAGCTGGATTTGTGACATCACATATAGTTTGGAAGTCAGTCCTGGCCCAGTATGCAACTCGTACAGTACTATAGTTCCTGAGTTTAGCCACACATTTGTTTATGTTTTCATTCTTTTGGTGTTTTGCACTGAATGCTCTCCACATAATGTTGAGGCACTCAGTACAACATAAAATTACAGCCTGTATTTCTTATGCCTTCCTGTATTCATTCAAAACAAACTTATTATGCTGCTTTGATATGAAGTGCACCTATTCCTGCACAGCACAGAACATTTAAAAACAGCACATTTAAAAGCTTTCCTGAAGTTTATTAGAGTCTGAAATCATTCAAAAACTACAACATGTGTCAACACTGCAAACTCCACTTATAGAATAACTTTAGGTAAAGACTACACAGAGTGCGAAAGGTTCGGGATTCAGTCCCATCTGCACCCTCAACTTCTGCACCAGCTGACATCACACATTTCCCAGCATCCCTCCATACTGATGAAGACCAGTTTTACCTTCCTCGTAGCCCCAGTCCAGCTCATCTTTCCCCGGGTTATAATCAGACTCCTCATTCACGTTGTCAGCCATGGTGCTCAGCAGTCTGCTCACTGTGGGTAGAAACCAGTCTGTCCTCCCAGTAGAGTCCCAGTCACACTGGTTTTTGTACGTTCACTTGGGCGAAAACTGAAGTCTCAGCAGTCTGCTGGATGGATTCCCAGCCGAGCAACAACTCCCACAGCCTTTCACTTTCTTCTTTGTGTCTTTTACTTTAGTTTCTTCTTGTCTCCCTGTCTCTATTCTGTCCGTCCTCCCCTCCTTTTATATCCTCTCTTGCTCTTGTCCTCTTGCAGCTACTGATGTGTGTGGATCTCTCTGCCTCTCTGTATTTCTCTTTACTCTGTTGCTCCTCCTCTTCCTCTCTCTCCACTTCACTGTTATCTCTCTGCCCCCTCTCTCTCTCTTCCTCTCCGTCTTCCTTTCTTTCTCTCTCTCTCTCTCTTTTAGTCTGCAGACTGCAGGTGTGTTCGCTAACCCTGGCCCTCCTCCAAATAATCACGGATAACTTTCTCATCCACAGTCCCTCTTTATCATGACTGCTGATTGCAAACAAACTTTTAAGTGTATGAACGTTAATTACGTTTTCTTTTCATTATATTATTCATGTTTCTAGGTTCCAGTTGGACTCGTATGTTGTTTTCTGTTAACCTTTGTGCTGTTGTGGGCACCCTGGTGGTTTTGTGTATGTGTGTAGGAATGCTGGCAGGAAGGTCATGCTGGTGTTTCTGTTGGAGGCCACAGACCCACCCTTGGGTGAAGGAAACAGGCAGAATACAGCAGGGCGGAGAGAGTGAAAGGCCAAACTGTTCTCCAACCTTGATGACTTCAAGATGGACAGACACACTGGATACTGAAACTATTTAACACCCACACATTAACTTTTTGGCACAGGATCTCATGAAGCTCAGTGGTCAGACCCTGATGCTTTACAAAAGGGGGTTGTTATAAGATAAGATAATTATTTGTCCCACAATGGGGAAAATGTAATGTTACAGCAGCAAAGTGGATAGAGAAAAAAACAGTATAAAAACAGTCCACAACAACAGACAACACAAATAACACAAATAGTAGCAGTAGCACATGGTTTAGTTGTTATACTTTAGTTCCTGTGTTTCCAGTGTGTTAAATTAAAAAGATGTATTTTGTTATTTGGGTTATTTTTGCAAAAGTCAAGAGCGATTAATAGTTCATGGTCCCCATTGTTCTTCCTGTTTTAATTTCTTTCTTTCTTAATCCATATCCTCTGGGCTGCTGATGTTAATTGCCCCACATTCCTTATCGGGAAATTGTCCTCGGAGCCATCTAAATGCAGGCGAGCTCCCCTGTTTCCACACTGTGGATCTAAAAGCAGGACATGGACTGCAGTTCATTCGCAGAGGGACGGGAGGGCCTGGGCTGCATACGGTAATTGGTGCAAGCACCTACACCCATTTGAAAGATGGATGATTTAAAGATACAATATGTCCTTTTTGCCACTAGGGGTGTCTCACATCAAAATAATAGCAAAAGACAAAGTTTGGTCACGTCGTTAAGTAGTGTGGAATTGTGGGAGTTGTTGTCATTGCAGCAGCCAGCATTTAGCTTCTCCAATTATCCAAAGGTCTCCTCCTCTCCAAACAAACCTGATTAAAACCACTAAAAACACTGAATAAAGCAGTTCCACCTTAAAAATCACTGTTTCTGTTCTAGAGTTTATACACAGTTTAATGCAGAAATGTTACAGATTATAGCTTTAATAAAATGTATGAATGACGAATGAAGTGTTAGCTCAGAGGGCACCAGCAGAGAGTGCACTCAGCCAGCGAGCAACTGCAGGTCTCAGGGCGTTCCTGCAAAAAGAGGGGCTTCCTCTCAGTGAACCTTTCCTGAATAAATAACGGTTTAAAAATAAAATAAAATAAATAAATAAATAAGTTGCTGTACATTGGTTAATGCTGCCTGAAGGTGCGTAGTGAAGTGAAACACATTGACTTTAACGTGATTTGCATGAATTTGACAGTTGGACAGTTGCCCTGGAGGACACTATAATCTTTTACCTACCATAGGTGCATCCACAAGAGCACTTTTGTGGTGTTTTCTCAAACATGGGGGCTGAAAGATCAAAGTAAAATGTTCCCTCTGGATTAATAAAGTTCTGTCTTATCTTAAAGCTAACAATGTTTGTGTTATTGTGTCTATGTTAAACAAATCCAAACCCTCTTCAGGAGGATCAGATGAACGCATTGTTCTTCCTGCGAACCCATAGTGCCTCACCATTCTGTCAATTTTTTCTGCTGTCATATCCATACAAGGATGACCAATGACCTATTCTTTAAAAAACAGAACATCATTGCTACTGACATTCTGTGTAGATGTAGTGAAAAGGAACAACTGTCCTGCGGTCTCATCTGAGACATACAAATACACACACACACAGAGAGAGAGAGTGGGAGAGAGAGAGAGAGAGAGAGAGAGAGAGAGAGAGAGAGCATATCTATGTACTGTATTTAGTTTTGTCCTGTTTAATTGCTTAGCATGTCTTGTGTGCTTTTGTGTTACATGTTTTACAGTGTTGTATAATGGTTTCCTGGATGTTTTTTAATTATTGTTCTTAATAGTTACAAATGGTTTAAGTAACTTTTGTCAGTTTAATCTCATATTCTTATATTTTTAGGATGAGTTTGTAACATCTGTCCAGGGAGAATAGGTGAAAAATAGATGAAAACTTTAATTTAATTGATGTGTACTGTCCCTGTTGGATACACCAATAAATAAAATACACAAACAATACACACAAAGGAAGAAATCCCCTCCAGAATATGGCACGTTGCTTCTCTCTGCAGGAAGTAATGAGCCACTACAGCTCAGCTGCAGAAGTGGTTTAACTATCGCTGCTGTTTGACTGTTCAAACTGTTCATTTGATGTGGTTCTATAGTTGTTTTGTACTTCGTGCTACCTATGGTGTGATAGCTTAACACTGCTGCCATCAAGTGGCTGTTTCAGCAGTTACTACGATGGTGATATGGAAAACAGTCAACAACAGAAATATGAACATCACCAGAGCAGGTTGGTTTCCTGCAAAATATTACCATTTCCTGTTTTTGTTTTTTACTATCAGTAACATACGGATATTTGATGCTATGATTTCTTTAATCATTCATATTTTTGTGCAACCATTAGATTTCAGTCTCCCAGTGCTATTTACACTTTTTATTCAAATTGTTTCATACAGTCACTAAACGTGTATATTGTAGGTTATAATGCTGACCTAGCATTACTAACATCACTAACTAAGTGCTGAACTTAAGTACACATTATTGTACTGCATGCCACTTTATACTTCATTTCAGAGGCAAATATTTACTTTTTACTCCACTACACTTATTTGACAGCTTTAGTTGCTTCATGATTTTTGCATAAGCTTTCTAACATTGTTTCAGTGAAATAGTGTTTTTCTGTCCATTCTGTAATCCCACTCTCCCCGCACTGATAGAACCAATATAAAACGTTTTCTTCTACCAGCGCAGCTTCTTGGTTGGGGTCAGTTGCATGTACCAGCAGTCCCCAAGTAATAATCGTCTATTTAACACACATAAATTCTCTTTAGGTTTTTTGAATCCAAGTTTTAGGCAGGTTGTAGAGATAATGCTGCCGGGTGAGATGCTGGCTCGTCAGACACAAAGTTTATGTTAACTTAGCTATGTTCACACAGTTGATGTTGTAAGAAAAGTAATATGTTCATAGCTTCTGACAACAGACAGTAGGCTACTGCCAAGTTGAGGATTTATTGCAATCTGCAATAGGTAAATGTGTGTGTGTGTGTGTGTGTGTGTGTGTGTGTGTGTGTGTGTGTGTGTGTGTGTGTGTGTGTGTGTGAGGAGGAATTCAGCGCCACCAGAGAGCAGACAGAGTGGCTGCAGCATAAATATAATGTGTTTCTGGGTAATGAGTACTTGAGTAATGAGGTTCTGTGGTATTTTTTGTGTTTCTCACATGATAAAGAAAGCAGAAGCTAATTTCTCATGTTGCAACATTCCTTATATACAATACTTTCCAATGTGACACTTTTGCTCCATACCTGAGATGATGTAAGTCAATAGTTGGTTTAGAGCCATAGTTCTAGTTGTATGTCAAACATACATCTTCGTTGTTGCAGCAGTTTAGATGGATCAATACATGCCCACTGCTGTAACCATGACAACTAGCCAGAAAAGATGAAGGTCCACCACTGAAACTTGTCCTGCTTTCAGTCACCTATTGTAGGCCAGGGTTCTACCTTTGTGGAACACAGAAGATACTTGTTAGCAGGACAAATGCACTGCTGGTTTTTGGTGCAAAAATGACAGCTTCATATTATAAACTACAACTAAGACCAACCGTCCTATCTCAAAGTTTTTGTCAGTAGGAGAGCTGATGTAGATATTTGATACGGGAAAAACAAAAAAGGCTTGATTTGGCAGCAAAGGGAAGATGAAACCAATCATCTCCTGTTCTGAGATATATCTGATGTCGATGGTGATACTGGACCCATGATCTGCAGCTCTCTGAGACACTGAATGCAACTACTTCCACCAAAGATTTTCTCGGAGCTACAGCTCAGCACAGGGGGTGCAGCAGCTGAGTCAAAGTCTCTCCTCAGACCTTATTGTGTTTAAAATTCAATGTTCCTTTTAAAGCTCAAGGACCATATGATTGCTTAGCATTTTGAAAATGTTTTGCTCCGTCAGCTTTAAAACTCTCCCTGTAACTGAGGTGCAGGTTTAACCCTTGAGCCTGTGATTAAAACACAGCTGTGTGTCTGTTGAACTAAAGGTCTATATTGTTCCTAAGCTTGATGCCTGAGATGCAGGCTTGAATTAAATGAATATTACCATGTTAGCCTCTCTGAATGTGTTTTTATTTTAATTCTAGATTATATTATATTTTTGACATCATGTCACTGGTCTGAGGGAGGGGGTGGAGGGTCAGTAATCACCCCCAGGCGGGCAGTTTGAGAGCCCTGCTTTACAACTTTAAATATACAGATAGATAGGACATGCCTCTCTTTATATTTATATGTATTATCTTGTTTATTCTTGTTTTTATTGCTGCTCCTGGTCACTGAGAGTTACCAAACATGATTCTGCTGTATGCCCTACAATCACAAGATAAGATAAGATAAGATAAGATAAGATATAAGATGTTCCATTTCTGATCCCTCGTAGGGAAAATTCTAATTTGGCACAGCAGCACAGGGGAAACGGGTAAAAGAAAGAATACAATAGAATATAATAAAAATATAAAAAAGACAAAGTGTCTTTGAAACAAAACAGTTCCATTTGAACTATATTTGTATAATCATTAAAAAATATAATGGTATACTGATTACAGTAATATATCATTACCACTCTGTCCATCAAATTTGAGTTGTGGGCTGCAGTGAACAATGCAGCCGCTAGGGTCCGCCAGAGCGACTTCAGACTTGTAGTGTAACAGTTTCCCAATGATTTGGTTTTTGGTGAATTTGTTTAATGTTTTCAATCTCGTATAACAATAACAATTATTATTATTTAAAAAATGGGTTTAGCTGTTTGCCCTAAGTATGAAAAGCGCCACACTAACGGACTCCCGTGCACTTATGTCAATAAAGAGTAGAGTAATTGAACACGTCGCAAAGTTTCCGAGGAGACCCTGAAGACATCATACTGTAGCGTGGCGAGGGCGGACCGTGTGACGTAGAGCCGAGGCTCTGGCTGTTTATTGTTCCTTCCTCAGCACCGACAGAGAAAAACAGGCTAACAAGCCGTCAGCTACCCTTTTTCACACGGTTCACGGTTGGTTCAACGAAGGTGAAACGGTCGAGACAGCTGACTGCACAAACCAGGGGCCATGGCGTATGCGTACCTCTTCAAATACATCATCATCGGAGACACGGGTAAGCCGCAGCAAGTGCCAACTAGACAGCCCGTTAGCATTCAGCTAGCTGTTAGCGTTTAGCTAGCGGTGTATTTCCGCAGTGTTGGATAGTTCAATGACGTGGTGAAAGCACAGACGCAGGGGGTGGGATGACAGCTCCAATTATACGCTCTTAACACATTTGGGTAACATTTAAAATACGCTGACAATGCCAGAAATGTTCACACAGGCACCCTCACCGAAGCTTCTCCTGTACTGCTGCGGTGTAGCGGCTGTTGACAGTCGGATAGATTTTGGGCCTTTTGTCCGTTTGCGTCGAGGGTGGGGGTGTTAGCCACAGCCTGCTAGCCGAGGTAGCTAGCATTAGCTGTTCCACTGAATATTGAGCAAACAGCTGTCACGGCAGCAAATGAAGCACTCATTAGAGCTCGTTACCACAAACGGTGGTAATCATACGATCCATTTGTTGGGTTTTTTTGGATGCATCATCAAGTGACACAGTTTATATTAGCTTAGCTTCTTCTCACAGAAGGCCAGGACGTCAAGCTATAGCCTCTAATATTCCCTAAAATGGCGTAGAGCACTTATTTCTAACCAAATATATGTTGCACCAATTACACTCGTTGTTGGCTTTCTTCCTCTGTTGTTTTTAATAAGAGTGTATGTTTTTCTGTATTCTGTCCCCCTGTGTGGTAAACCAGGGGAGCAGTAGTTCATGTTGTCATCTGTTTACTGTTAGCTGGCTGTCCTGATCAGGGCCCTGCTCTGTTAGCTTGCAGTATGACAGCAGGTGCTTTTGTAATACAGCTGTATTATAATACAGCTGTATTATAATACTGTTGCACCAGTGTTAGGAAACAGCAGTCACCTGAGGTAGAGTGAGAAATGTGTCAGGATTTTTCAGTACAGGAAGCCAAACCAAAGACTTGGGCCAAATGCAGTCAAGAGCCAAACAGGTGTTTCCAGTCAAGAGAGATAGAATAAATGATCATGAAACGTTTTCTCCTCATCCATGTGTTTGGTAGTATAGAAACCAAAATCTGTTATTATGGTGGAAGTTGAAACATGTTGGGAAAAGATTCATAATGTCCTGATTTATTTGAGATGATGACTGGTGGGCTGCATGCTTACTACAGTGTTATTGCGAAACAGGTTCATGTTTTGCCTGCTGTTGTTGTTTATCTCTAGTAGCGAGTGATGAAGAGAGCGCCAGCCAAGGTCCTAGCTTGATTACATGTATGCCTACACCAGAAATACTCTGCAGTGCACACATCGAACTCATCTATTTCTATTTGATCATGTGTGGTGTGGGCCTTCCAAGGAATCCTCAGGAAAAAGAGAAAGTAAAGCTGAAACCCTTTGATAACCTGGGGAAAATATTATAAAAGATCTGGTTTGTTGTCCATGACAGGGATCAGAGCCACCTTTGTGTACAGTATCAGTTGTATGTGTATGTCCAGGTTTACGTGTATACAGGGTGGAAGAGGATTTTGTGCACATTTTCTGTGTCCGGTATGTTCAGGGTGGTCAGAATGTGACCAGTAGCGTTACAACTGCTCCTACATGTCATTGTAGGTTGCCATGAAATGCAAAACCTCTCTCTACTGAATCACGCCCACAAGCATCAAAACCACAGAAGTCCTTTTATTTATTTATTTTTGTCTGTTTTTGGGGGCTTTGATTGACTTCTAATGGATTTTGACAGGAAGGGGTGAAAGAGAGAGGGGATGACACACAGCAAAGGGCCACAGGTCGGACTCAAACCCATGGCCGCTGCAGCAAGGACTCTTGCTCTACTAGGTGAGCTTTCAGGACGCCCCAACATGTTACCTTTGGCGTCATTGGTTGAAAAGAAAGAAAGGAGTAATAGAAGGAAGGAAAGACAGACATTTGTTTTGGATGTTTTGCTTTTGGCTCTCACAAATACCTTTTTGACAGAGCAGTTATGGAACAGTGCAGGTGACGGTGACATTGACATCTCCTGGCAAAGGATGAAGTTGAGTTTGATCAAAACAACTGTTTTCAATACTGTCACTGTGTGATATAGCACCAGTTTGGAAGGGGAGTGCTTGGGACCGTATCAGAGATCTATGGAAGCCTCAGAACCTTATTTTGCCAGCCACAAACCTAATTGGCTTCAATGTAAGTCTTTCAAAAAAGTTAATTGTCAAGATTAGGAATGATGCAATTACAGATATCTATATACCTCTGTAAAAACGTGGTTTTAGTACACTGAATGCTGTGTTTGTTTTGCAAAGAGGAGGCAGTTTTTGATATCTATCACCTTCCCTAATCCCACACTATTTGGCTGTGTTCCGTTTGGCCGTACTCTGAGTCACATTGGACCAAGAGACGCATAATCAATGTACACTGAGATATAATAGTAAATCTCCAAAAAGCAAGCAGGAGAGGAGACATTTCTTTTGCATGAGCAAAAATCAGTCCATGTCTCAGCAAATTAAAAGATTTGTTTTCCTTGTGGTGAATTAATATAAATAACACTTCCTGTAATAATATGTTGAAGATTTTGATTTCTCAAAGTTCCACTGCCTAAATCTTAATAATCAATGTGTGGAAATGATAAAACCTTCAGCTGCAGGCCTGCACACATCTGAAGCAACAGTCAGTTTTGTTGGAAGATGTTTGCTAATACTGGATCATGTGATTTCTTTCAACAAAGAGCTCAACATTTACATTGGTTAACATGTATAGAACACAAACGCACAGATCATATTTGGTAGCCTATTGAATGTACATTATTCATGAGCCACCTTTTGAAGATAAATTGTGTTGAGGGACATTATTTAATTGTTTGCTAAGGGTAATTTAAGCCTGAGAAAGCAGTCTGTCAGGGTCTGGTAAACATTGGGCTAATTCTTTAATTTGATGAGTGGTAAGTGAGTTTGTCATTCCAAATACTTCCTGACACAAGCCTCGTATCTGACCCCCCCCTCCCCCAACAGTTAAAGAAAAATTGACACCAACCAAAAGGAAAGCTGCTGGGGTAATTTATGGAATTTATGTTTTTGTTTTTTTGTTTTTTTTACAGTTTTCCCTTATTATAGGTAAAAGTGCTAATGTCTAAAATACATTGGATGATTACATTTATTATTTTAATTCCTTTACTTCTTTCTCTATTTTTATTCAGTTATAATTTGGCACCCTTACATTATAATCGGGTCCTTATCTCGACCTCCTGCCGACTAATGGAGATTCACTTTTTGTTACTTTGTACAGCCAGGTCTTATCGGCCCTCCATTATCTGAGGTTATTCATACAGTACAGTAGTTTGACATGTTTCAGTTGGGTGTGTCTGTTTGTACCCTAGTAACTGCCATGTTGAGTCCTGATACACCAAAACAAATAATCCCCAATTTACAAGACCTGCAGCTTCATCCAGAAAACCCTCTGGTCTCTGTGCTGGTCCAGATGCATGGCAACAGATGCTTTATTACATATGTCTGCTTTTAAAGGTCTTCCCTCCATTACCCTCCAGGTCACAGTCTAACCCTTGACCTGCACCATACCAACTGTCAGACGCACCCGGCTCCCATGTGGTGTTGTACACGTAGGCTGTTGTGATTTTTTGTTAGTTAGTTGTCCAACAGGACTAGATTGCTGGAGGTGCAGAGGAAAACTTGATCATTTTGACTCATCCAGTTGGCTCAGATCTGTGATAAGCATTACCACTGCACTCTGAGAATGAGGAAGATCCAGTACCAGTCAGTCAGTTGCGTCGATAAATGTTTAAAGGTCTGATACAGAGGCAGCATTCTGGGACAGAAGGGAAAACTTCTTGGCTGACCCCATTATACAGCAGTGTTTTTTTAAATTTGCAGTCATTTTGTATTCAGACTTGTATCCAGCATTAGTTGTCTTTCATTAAAGCTCCAGTGTGTAACATAGGATCTATGGTCGGTAATTGAATATAATATTCATTGCTATGTTTTTATTAGTGTATAATCACCTGAAAATGAGAATTGTGTTTTAGAATGAGAGGTTTTTATCTGTAGATCCTGCGGCTGTCACCTTCCATAGAGTCATGTTTCTACAGTAGTCCAGAACCCTGGCTGTAGATGGGGACTTCTGCGCTTCGAGTGTTACGGCCACTGTAGTTTCTCAACCCGTTCTCATTCCCAGGTCGTCAAATACAGAGGCCAGTGGTGTTCAGTGAGTTGCAACTGCTATCAACTGGTACTCTACTAGATACCACTAAATCCTACACACTGGTCCTTTAACCAGTTCTTGTACCACTCTACCTTGTGAGGTATACCTCAGGTTTTTTAGACAACTAACCACACGGGTCTTTGTGAGATAGTCTGGAAAGTTATAATCCCACATATTCCTTTTCATATCACTGTTTTCTAGTCATGTTAAAAGCTTATATAGTATATTTCTTTTAAAAAAGAAGGTTTTGTGCTTTTTTTTTTTTAAATGGAGATTTTCAATGGTCATTGGTGCTTCCTCAAATGTGAAATTAGTTAAAATCAGTACTGGGTGGGGCATCCCAATGGTCAAAGGGATCATGATGCTCGCCACATCACCACGTTCTCAATTTGAGTCCCGCTGGCAAACTTTGTCGCGCGCCATTCCCCCTCTCTCCCTTCATTTCCTGCTCTACTGCATGCTGTCTAATGAACCAGAACCCTAAATAATACTTACAAAAACTTTTAGTAATTCCATTCAGTGTTGGTAGAGCTGTGCATTCATTTCTGGAGAGACTTTCCTCCATGATGATACGACGAGGCAGTGTCATACTGATTGAACTGTCCTGGTCAATAGAAAAAAAAGATGCAAATCCTGTTCTAGGTTGGACTTTCTCTTTAGCCAGTGGCCTCCAGCCAGCCTGTCCACAGATCTGGTTGGCAGAAAGACAGACTGACTCTGAAAGAAAATTATAGTCTCTGTGCACTTTTAATGCTCCAAAAATAGACTCTGTTCTATGGAGCACTGCCTGTACGTCTGCAAGTTTCCAGAGACTTTCTACTTTTCAAAGAAGTTTGACCCCTTTCTCAGAATGTTGAGGTGCATTGTGGTTCACTGGGAAGGAGAAGCAAAGACATTTCTCTGAAGGAAGAGTGAAGAATTTATTTTTACTAAACACATAAAGATAAATGCAATAATAAAAACAATACTTCATTACAGTCAGTATTCAACATTAAAGCACTACATGAGAAACCCTCCCCACAGTCACTGAGCTCTGAGAGGAGATGACCCTGGGTCAGTTGTACAGTGCCCTGACTGAAGTTTCACAACTGGAGCCTGCAGTCCAGTGGTGGTGTGGTGAACGTTTAGTTAGAAAATTCCACTTTTCTTCCACAGTGCTGCTTCTAATAGACTGTTGCTTTCTTCCCCTAAATATCTGGTGAATGTCTGCTTACATAGTGCCACACTACCACCATCCACTTGAACTGTTGTCAAGGTTAACTTGTGGAACAATAATATATATAATAATAATATGAATAATAATAATATTGCGATTAATTGTGCAGCTCTGCATAGTCTACACTCGAAACATACATTTTGAATCCTACCTTAGTAATGTAAGTGTTAATTCAAATACAACTTTACAACTGAAACAAAAGATGAACTAATATGTTATAAATGTTATAAAAACTGAAACCAAAACTGTTGAAATGGAAATCCAAAGTAGATTTCTCTGTAAAGCCTAGACATGTGTCCCTTGCTTTCCTTTGTAGCTCTAATTTTATCTAGCAGTATGTGACATATGTAATGAAACAAATTGGCGAAAGGCCAGTATGATACAACTCAGTCTCCAGCTCATGACTGAAATAAAGTCACCCTTTCAGTGTATTTATTCATTATAGCAATTCTCCTTGACATATGGAGAAGCTAGCTACATTATCTAGTGTATCAATCACCAGAAGTTAATGTGGTTAGCTGAGTGGACTACTTTAGAACAGGAATCTTAACTGAGCCTTTAGAATGGTATGTGGCCCACTAGTTGTCATATGACCTGACTTAGATCAGCTGTGCCTCATGGAAAAGGTAGTATTCTATTCTAAATTCATGCATTCAGGCACATTAGTGAGGTTGTAGGTGTTGGCAGTGCTAAAATCCCAACACACAAGCACTGTTACCCACATAAAACTGAAGAAAATAGACGTGTGTAGCAGATGTGTTCCGTCAGACATGTGTGAGAAAATGTGGCAGATAGACGATAGGCTTTAGTCTTGTTTAAACCAAGTGTAGCTACTTATCTCTTTATTGCTAAATCCTTAGAATTCAACTTAAAGACCTGAAACATAAAAGATCTGTTACTTTTTCTCCTCTGAAAACCACCACTTCTTTATTCTGCGCCTTTCCACTGCAGAATATTGTGCTGGATTGTTTGAGGTACTACTTCAGAACATCTTGCTCATTGCTAAGTATAAGTTTTGTCTTAAGTTTCTTCATAGATAGTGTGTAGATTCTTAGCTACTGCGGGCCTAGCACTTGCAGTTCAGTGGAAGGAAGCAGAATGTTTGCCAGCGCTTATCTCACTGGTCCACATCTATTGAATCAGACTGGTGTTTGCCTAGCCAGTGCAGCTAAATGAATCCACCTGTTAATTATCCAGTCAACCTGTTCTCCAACCAGCCGCTCAGTCACCTGGCTGGCTTTTAGCTCTCCGATAGCCCAGTGGGTCTTTCCACATTCGAATTACCTCTGCATGAGCTCCTGGTATGGTGAGGCATTATTAGCTCAACTAGAAGCTGTAGGAAAGACCCTGTTCTGTAACATATTTGGTAGTTCTCCACTAATTATGTGATTGTAGCCTCTCTTACCATTTGAAGGCACAGCAGGTTTTGATTGTGGGCTGCTGTAGACAGTTTGCTCATGCTCTCTACCACAGGCAACATGCTGTTACCTCTTGGCTGGAAATGGTTGAGCTATGCTAGAATTGTCTGTTAATTGTATTGTGACCCATTTTGCTATTGGAAAAATATAGCAAATGGGAGCTTAATGTTTCCTCTGTGTTAGCAGTCGAGTCATTGATGGCTGATGGATAGTATGATGGAGACAGGGGTGATGATGACATGATTGTTGCACCTCTACAGAGCTGCCCTCCTCATGATCCCTCCATCTCTTATCATTATCATCACACAATCCCTGCCCAGCAACGCCGCTGCCTGGCAATGGTAACCCTTGGAAACCACGAAGAAGGGAGACCACATCCCTCTGTCACCTCCTTGAATATCTGTCAGTTTGTCTTTCTGGCCTTTCTCATTAGCATCATTCTCATCTCTTTTCACCCCACCCCCTCCTTCCATCCATCGCTTGTTGACACCAGAAGGACTTTTCTCTCCCACACATATGAAGATAAATGTGCTCCCTAACCTCAAAACACCAAATGCTCATCTTAGCATGAACCCAAGTCTGCAAACTAAGCATTAAATAACAACTACAACACAAATATATTCAGTTTACTGTCATAGAGGAAGAAAGAAACCAGAAAATATGAGAGTATGTGAATGTGTATGACTGCATGTTCCCACTAACAAAGTATTGTATCACATTGCTGTTTGAAGATTGATAATCACTTTCCCTTCATACACTGCCTAGGGATGAACACTTAGGTCACTCACTTGACACATTTCCACTCAAATATTTCATGTTGCTGTTAAAATTAGTTAGGAATTAAATTGGCAAACCTCATCATCTGACTTTGTAATTCAATGCTCCGCTGTGCTGAGATACTAAACATAATAAATGCCGGTCGTTCCAAGTTAAAGAAATGAATATTGACACGTCATGCCATTGACTGTAATCTTACTCCATCTGCGTGTTTGTGGTCTGCAACATCCAGAACTGAAGTCATATGTAGAGTTAATAATGAGCAGATTCACCAGTGCCACCAACAACAGTGGCATCACACATACAAAGAAGCCAGCTGGTCAGTTTGCACGCTAACAGTTGGCTCAGGTTAATTGAAGCTAGGTTGGAAAATGGTGTGTAAGCTCCCTGCTGGTGTTGTTTGACCTGCACAATGACTCCAATATTCCTACTTTAAATTTTAATGAATTATATGTATTAGACATTCATTATTGTTGTACATTTGTAACTCCCTGCAGAGTGTTGTCACCTTCAAACAGCAGAGTGTGTCTGCGCTGTGTGGGAGTTCACTGCTAGGAAATGTAATAGATTTTATAATGATTGTTGGTACGTGTGGTGTTCATGCTTGCATGTATGACTCACTGTTCCAATTTTGCGGCATTAGACCCTTTTTAATGTTTGTGTGTTTCATTTTCAGGTGTGGGAAAGTCATGTCTATTACTACAGTTCACAGACAAGAGGTTTCAGCCAGTTCACGACCTCACTATCGGTAAGAGCACCTGCCTCCTACACATTCAGCACTAAAGCAACATCATAACTAGATTTAAATGTATAAAATGTCATCCTAATTTAGAATTAGCTAATTATTGTTGTTGTTAGAAAGCAGTGCAAAATCAATACAGCATGGGGCCAACAGGCTGAAAAGGTGGAGCTAATTAAAGTAATTGTATAACTGTGGTGGGTTTTGCAAGTTGGAGCTATAAAGCACTGATATCATGAACCATTATCGCAGTGAAGGAGAATGTTGTTTAAGATAAGCAAAGCTGAGCTCACCATAGCCCTAAGATCATAGAGACAACCACTACATCTGATGTCTTAAAATAAGGAGACCATACTCATCTTAAAGTTGCCCCAGTTACAGTAAATCATTTATTAGTAATGAGATAGGAAATTTGTTAAGATATATTCGTATTTCTGACTTAAGAAGGCACAAGGTATGTGAAATCTATCAAATCAACATTTAAAGTCTAAATTTACCATCAGTAGTTTAGGGTGGTTGCAATTAACATCCATTGTCCAACGATGTAAAAACAATCAGTTAGAAATGAATCAACAAACATTTTGCTGGGGCAAATAATAAAGCAGATTAAAATGCTTGCTTTTAATTGTTGCTATATAATATTCCTACAAAACATGGAAATGTAATACTGGGGTACAAAATGCTTTCTTTTTGTCCAATTTCTATCCATTTGTCACAATTAATGATGTATGCGGTTCCAGTCTAGACTAATAATAATAATAATAATAATAATAATAATCATGATAATAATAATAATAATAATAATAATAATAATAATAATGATAATAATAGTGTTCATAATCACACAATAAACTTTTTATATGCACTCATTGTGACACCTGAGAAGATAACTAAATGAATATGGTTTATTAATAAGCAGCTTTAGAGACTTTCTGATTTAGTCACATAATTGTACCTAATTTACATTCTTTTGCCATGAATAAGTGTGTGTACCTAATTTACATTCTTTTCTGTGTGTGTGTGTGTGTGTGTGTGTGTGTGTGTGTGTGTGTGTGGGTGTGGGTGTGTGTAGGTGTGGAGTTTGGAGCGAGGATGATCACTATAGATGGCAAACAGATCAAACTGCAGATCTGGGATACGGTAATATATATCTATTGTATATTCTTTTTTTCCCCCTCATTGCATATTTATGACTAAAGTCTTTGAAATGCAGGCATTAGCACTCTTAAACATTAGCCTGTAGTTCTGTAGTGATCCCTTCTTTGTCATTTTTAAAGTAAGTTTAATGTTGATGTAAATATGAACCTGAAAAAGTCTTCAGAAAGCTATTTTTGATTAGTGAATGCGAGTAATCTGTCTATCAGTAGTTTTTAGCTTTTAATAATTAATTCTATTTGATAAATAAAATGCTTGATTCATAACCTTGGTGAATATTTATATAAAAACTCATTTTTGACTGACAGAACCTCTCTCAGGACCGTGCTTTTCTTTCCCTATGAGTTGTGTATCACATCTTCCCTTCCCTACAGGTCAAGAAAACATGGTTAGGAAAATGGAGGGTCTGTCCCAATTCCCACACTTACAGTATTTCCAGTAACTGCTACAGTGCCCAAGTGTCCGTTGAGGTTGATCAGAGCTCAGTGGGACACACTTAATTAATGAGGACATCCCACCCTCACACAAATACATAATACATAGCTCAGTCAAGTTCCAATGCTTTGCTGGTTTCATTTTATTTCCACATAATGAACAAATAAGTTGGATCAAGCAGACAATCGGAGGACTGTATAAAGAAATCACAATCATGAGCTGAGGGGATTAATACAATTAATAAAGCAATTAAATAGTTATCTTGAGACGTGAGTGTACATAAAAGACAAAATCTTCTCAGAAAATGCTTTCTGTCTGTTAAATGTTGAGTGAAGGAACCATTTTTTACCATAACTGCACTGTGTTTGAACATCAATAATATTCTGAATGGCTGATTCAGCTTGTCATAAACTTTAACATCTTAATTCGTTGTTAGTCCTAAAACCAGTTTGCCGGTGCAAAAACGCAGATGACTTGTGTGTTATAAAGCTCATGATGAACTGTGGGTAACACTTGAACACTGGAATACCACTTTAGAGAGCTCTTGGCAAACGTGTGCCTCCAGTGTGAGTTACGTGTGTTGGCACGTTTCAGACATGGGACAGTGCTACCTGCCACTACCCAAAGGCACCTAACTGCTCAACACCTCAAGTGTGTGCGTTTGGACAGACAAAGGAAAAAGGATGTAATATTCTGACTACTGGCTCAGTGCACTATGGTCTCCTGTACGTGCAGGTACCCAGTTGGCCAGCAGGGGGAGTTAGCGCTCTATGGAAAAACACCTTTCCAAGTATGAGAGGAAAAGACCTCATCAAGGTTTTTCATCCTACCAGCTAGTTAAGTTTTTACCTGGCCATCCAGGTGTTAGCCCTGATTAGATGCTCAAAATGAAAACCAGCAGGGCTCACTGATGCTTACTGGACTTCCGCCACCATCACCAAATGGCTAGAAACAGCAGTCAGTCATCATTGTGTAGGCTGCACATGCCATGAATAAGTGTGTGTGCATGTATGTGTGTTATTGCACGCAGGCATGTAGGCCAGATGGCAGGCAGACACAGTGTTCCCTCTCTTTCACCCTTATTTATCATTTATTCGCTAATAGAATTACTGACTGGTTGACTGCTCTCTTAATGACTGACTGACTGTTCGTGGGGGCTTCTAAGTGGCTGTTTGGCTCACTGACTGACTGAATACCTGAACGAGTTTCTTGTCGACCAACTAACTAGTTGGCTACTAACTAGTTCTCTGACTCAGTGACCGACTGCTTCGTTGATCCACAGACTGGGTTCCTGGCTGACAAACTGGCAGCCTGGTCCTCTGACTTGCTGAGTGATTCACCGACTGACTGTCTGGTTTTTCAGATGAGGTCAGAGCAGCGCGGGGCTGCAGCTGCTAGGATAAGAGTGCTGTTTTGTTTTCTGCTCCGGCCTGGACGAAACACAGACAACATTGTTACTGTACATGGGACGGAGACAGAGGATGAATAGATGTGGAACGGGGGTGGTAAGAGCGCTACATAGTGAAAGGAGTGATGGAAAGAGGGGAGGCCCAGGGATTCGTAGTGAAAGAATGAAAAGATGAGTGATGCAAGGAAGAGACAGCCGAGGTGAGACAATGGGGAGGTGAACAAGGTGAGATAGGGGGATAAACGGACCGTATATATGACACACAGTTAATGATGTGACCTTCCATTTGGTTCATAAATAGGGAAATTGAGAGTTTGACACACAAACAGAGAGAAAGAAAGGGGTTGTGACAGATAGATGGAGAAAGAAAGAGAGAACTCCATTGTATTCAATTACAGGCCCTGCTCTGTCCTGTCTTTACCCTGGCTGACTGAAAACCGGGTGCCCGACTATGCTTGGGAATCATGACTGCTACAGAGAACATATATGGAAATAAACTACATAAACATGACTTGTGGGAGGATGAGCTGTAAGACTGAGAGCTGGGTCAAACGTCAGGCTTAGGGCTGTTAGAAACCCAGACAATCTTGTCTGTGGGCATTAAAATGATAAAAATGTGTGTTCATTAATATACGTGTGTGTGTTTCTGTAGGCTGGTCAGGAGTCGTTCCGGTCCATCACCAGGTCTTACTACAGAGGAGCAGCAGGAGCACTGCTAGTCTATGACATCACAAGGTAACGAGACCAGTCAGACAGACCCCTACACGCTCTGTGGTCAAGCTTGTTGCCAAGTTGAATGTTAGATTGAGTAACAATGATGTGTACTTAAAATACCCCTAGTTCAGCCTTACTAGCATCCTTTCCTCACCATTGTGAACACAGTTTCTCTGCTCTTCTTTCTATGAAGAAATACTCTCCAGTCCTGATATAACTGATGCTAGCAGCATCTACGCTACTACATCTTTATCAGCTGCCATTTTTGTTTAACAAATAGTGTCTTACCGCTATGTCACACCTAGTGCCCGTCCCCGTAGCTGCCAGTACTTCGTCAAAGGACGTTGATTGGCTCAATACCACTGTAGCTGCGGCACAAACACACAGCTTGAAGACTGGCAAGATGGGTTTTTGTGTGATTTTCTAATCTTGCTAGTCTAGCTGCCTCACAAGGTTACTGTCATGTCTTTGCATTGGACAGAGAGTAAGTTTCTATATAATGTACAAGACATAACATTTTCAATCTCTCATTTTGCTTCCTGTTCTTCTTTCCTGTAGGGTTCAAACTCTCCCCAGAGTCATGTGTGCTTTACAAAAATCTGAACGTTCTGGTATTTTGTGCAAATTCAGAATGCCCAATATTACAAAGTATTTCCTGTATTTTGAAAATACAGAACACATGTATCTTTTCTTCACGTCATTAAGATTCATCGGGTATGTTATGAAAATCGGACAGTGAGTCACAGGCTGCTTACTGACACACTATGGGAGGAGTAAAGATTATGTTTGTGTCTTGGAGAGGCGGATGCATTTACACTCTTAACATCTGGCCCAGAAAGTGTGTCAAACCACCTCTGGAGGTGGAATGCTCATTGGATGTATTTACACTCAGCTCTTTTGAGAGCTGATAGCTATCTGATCCACGCAGGACATATAAAGTGACTAAGTGTCAATGGGGAGTTAGCTGCCTCTCTTCTCAAACCCAATTTGCAGCATTCAGCGCTATGGTCCAGAGCAAAATATATTGACAGCAACTGGCCAGATTGACATGAAATTTGTTATTGATCTTCATGGTCCCAGATATTGATTTGTAATGATTTTCATAACCCTGTTGCCCTTTGAGCACTGCTGCCCTAAGGTCAAAATGTCCCCTCCACCAGCATCCTCTCTTTCAAAAATGAAGGTCATGATGTCCATCCATTTACTGTGGACCTTCATGCTCCACAAAATGACAATCCTGGGGTTCTTAGCTCTGACCTAATCTGCAAATACAGTCAGCTGAATAGCTGGTATGGAGTTCATCCTTTTAGGCTAGAGGGACTTAAAGCTGCAGTAGGTCATTTTTATGAAAACATTTTTTTGTCATATTTGCTGAAATTGATCTAACTATATTCTGACAGTAGTACGTGAGACAGTCCTGAACAAAAACAGCCAATCAGAGGGGAGAAAGATGGGTGACTGTTGAGTCTAATTCCAAGGGCGTCAAATACAGATACTAAGAATGAGACTCCACAATTAACTATTGTCAAGCTTCCAACCCAAAGCGTCTTTATATCTTGGCTCTGATTGGTTGTTTTCATTCGGGCCTGGTAGATTCCTGAATTGCCATTAGGAGTGCTAGAACAAGTCAGAGGAAACTGATTTTTTTTCACAGATTATCTGTCTCATGTAATACTGTCAAGTGAGTCAAATTATACAATTTCACTTCCACAATAAGGGTAATAGGTGCTCTTTTCTCTATGTGTTCTTTTGCATTAGTGGGAAACTATATTAAAACTAGATTCTGTGTTTGTTTTAACAGAAGGGACACCTTCAACCACTTGACAACCTGGTTAGAGGACGCTCGCCAACATTCCAACTCCAATATGGTCATCATGCTTATTGGCAACAAGAGGTGAGATCCTTTTTGTGGCCACATCAATTGCACAGTGATGTTTGCATCCTGCCCTACATAAGAGTGGACCATCAACAATGTGTGACAGTCATCACTACTGTCTAAGAGCACTTTGCTATAAAATGATAGTTTCCTTATAATTTGTCCAAGCAAGCTGGACAGCTGTTATTTCTGGGCCTGGCCATAACCTCACACTGTAGCTTGTGTTTAAAATTTAAATAAATCAAACTGTTCCACACCTGTTTGAGTTGACTACATCATTTTGTGAGATTTTAAAAGAGGAACTCGTATGTTAGTAGTTCACAATACTTTGTTTGTTACATAACATAACGTTGTGTAAGATAAAGCCATGTCAAAAGAGTGCTGTTGATAGAATTGCATGTACCTTGAAACGAATTATGGTAAATGCATACTTCTGACAAATTGAAATAAGGAAGTTACTCCTGCAACAAACCTCAGTTGGTTATTGACAACACTGAGGTTACATAACAGGGTTACATAAGAAAAATAATACACATTATGTCAAAAAAGTGCTGCTGTTGATACAATTACAAACACCTGGAAACTAATTTTACTTGGTTTAAAACCTACCAGAAGGACTCACACATTTATCAGTGTTCAGGCTAAACTTTAAGGTAACTGTTTTTTCCCTAATTGAAAATACATTATGTCATTGCATTAACGAGTTTGTGTGTGTGTGCGTGTGCGTGTGTTTTAGTGACCTGGAGTCAAGGAGAGAGGTGAAGAAAGAGGAAGGTGAAGCATTTGCCAGAGAACACGGCCTCATATTCATGGAGACCTCAGCCAAGACGGCCTCTAATGTAGAGGAGGTAATAATACACACACACACACACATATACCCATGCACACCTTGATTCATGCTACATTTGAAAATGCCAGGTTATTTGGCACTGACATAAAGAATAATAAGCGAAGTACCTGAACATTACACATCAGTGTTTCAGCAATAATTCATTAATTGGTGGCAGAGTTCGAAAATGCTATAAACTCAATCTGTCTGATATATATACTACTCCCTGCATGTCAACACTAATGCTAACAGCTTTGTCCTCACATATAAATCCATCCATCACTAGAATTTCACACACATCATGGGCTATTTCACAGATATCAGTGCTGCCTGTTGACATCTGTAGCTGGAGTTAGTCCTCTGTTTGTTAGTGTTCACTCAACCAGCCTTCAGCAGGCTGCAGTACTGGGGTTAGACCCATATATTGGACTGTAATAGCTGTGTATTACAAATCGCCTTTAGTCCAGTTGGTGTCATCCACTTCTGATACTATGCAATTGTATTCCTTGTTTTTGCTATTGGTGTGTTTTTGTTTTTTTTGTTTGTTTGTTTTGTATTATTATTGGTGTAGTAGTATTAGTTATATTATTAGTAGCTGTAAATGTACTAATAGAAAGGCAAGGTAAAGTTACAAATCAAAAGAGTGTGAAATGACTTGATCAATTTAATTTCTTTTACATTTAATTATTCATTTAACCATGCAGTCATATTTTCTGTGGATGTCCTGACGTAATATTCTAAATGCTGTGTGAACACCCTAAATATTTTTATTTATTTATTTTTAGGCATGCTAACAGTGTGGCACTATTGATGGTAGTGTCAGTCAATCCACCATTTCATTCCAGACTGAAATAGCTCAACTATTAGATGGATAACCATTCAATTTTTTACTGACATTAATGGTCCCCAGATAATGAATCCTACTGATTGCATGAATTTTCCTGTAGTCCTTGGGTCAAAATTTCAATTTATCCAATACTAATGAGCAAAGGTTAGCATGCTTACACACTAAACTAAGACGGTGAAGATGGTAAACATTATACCTGGTAACATCAGCATGACAGCATCGTCATTGTGAGCAGGATGTTAGCATTAACCAACCTTCAAACCAAAATGATATCAGCTGCAAGAAAAAGAAGATTTTCAAGAAATCAGATCTCATTTTTGACAGTAGCATTTTCTGCAATTGCCATTCAGTAGTTACCTCTCTGTGTAGCAGTTTCATTGGTGGTGGCATAGTAAGCCATTCCCACGCTGGATTCACAGGAAAACAGATTATAAAAGAAACAGTACCTAGGATGTGACCTTGGTGTGCTCGATGGTAGCTGCAGCCCAGCCTTCCTCATTACCACCACTAAAAGTGCTCTCTGTCATTGTGGAAACTGAGTGATTAACCAACAACAACAACAACAACACACACAATAACAACATCAAGCCAAAATCCGAAAACTGGCAAGTGTTGCAGGGTGTGTATTATGAATGAAATAGTGCACATTAAGAGATAAATACACAGTGCAGCCTTGAATGGTGAACAGAGGTGAGTGATGAATGATGAAAAAAATCTATCTTATTTTCCAGCTTTTACTATTTTATCTACCACTAAAAGGACTATCACAACCTCCAGCTGACTTGACCGTTTATCTGGTGGCGTCATGGATCACCACACTGGAGCCTAACATTGCCAGCTCCACATTAGCATCATCAGGCACAGTTAATACACTGCTCCGCCCCTCGCAGAGACACACCCCTGGTGTTGTTGAATGTAATGAATGCATGGCGTTGTCCTCGGGGACCCCTTTCTCACTTATCCAATCACATAAATAATCCCATCCTACACTGCACAGCATGCCAGCCAGGGGCACTGCACACTGTGTGTGTGTGTGTGTGTGTGTGTGTGTGTGTGTGTGTGTGTGTGTGTGTGTGTGTGTGTGTGTGTGTGTGTGTGTGTGTGGTGTGTGTGTGTGTGTGTGTGTGTGTGTGTGTGTGTGTGTTTACATTGATTTTTTTTTTTTTTTTGCTACCCTCTCTTCCTGGCCTATATCATGCTAAACACACACACCCATACCACTGTCGAATAGAGCTCTCTGTGGGGTTAAAATGAGGGGGAGGGGTGTGTGTGTGTGTGTGTGTGTGTGTGTGTGTGTGGTATGATTAATTTGTCTCATTAGTGTCCTCTGAATCCTCCTGATACCGCTCCTCTACTCCCTTCCCTTCATCTCTCCTCGCTCCGTTCCTCCTCATCCCTCGACGTCCATCATTTGCTCTTTACCTCCCTCCTATCCTCCTTCACCCCCCATCCCGTTCCTCCTCCCCCCTCCTCCAATGTTTCGTTCCTCCCCTTTCTCCTCCATGTCTTCCTGCCCTCTTCCATTCATTTCTTCCTCCCCTCCTCCCTCAGCTCCTTCCTCCCCCTCCCTCTTCTCCATCATCTCCCTTTCTCTCCCAAGCAGTATATCAACCAGTTAGAGTTCATACATATTCATAACCTCCACCCTGCCTCTTCTCAGCGACATCCAGCAGCCAATCAGTGCGCTGGGTTTGTCGTCAGGGTCTGTGGGTGGACACCGGGTTGATGGGATGGTCCTTAGGGAGATAGAGATTCCTGTAAGCATCTTCTCATCGTCTCATCTCCTCTTCCTTGAGAGCCTTTCCTCAGCCTCAGCTCATTTCTGTTCTTGTTTCTATATTTCTCTTTTTTCTTTTATCTCTTGTTCTCTTGTCTATTTCTTCACTTATCTTCTCCCATTTTTACTTTACTCCTATACTTAAAGGTGCTGTATATGACACTAGCATCTCAGACCAAAACTGCTACATCCTACCAGACTCCATTGACAAAAACACTAATTTTACCTCCCACCTCCCCCAAAACACACAGTCATTCAAACTCGCCAGGGACAAATTAATCTCATATATAAAATCAACATTTTCTCCACATTTTACCCTGTTTTCTGTTTCCTTCTTTTATTTTCTCCTCTGTCTTTACGATCTACACAAATTTCAACTTCGAGAAATTCAAGAAAATGAAGTGTAGAGAGGTGTGAAGGAACAAGGGATACCGTGATGTGTTAAAGGAAGGAAAGAGGACAGAAGTGAACAGGACGGAGTTTACTGGAGAGCACCCTTGGGCTCCTCAGTCTATTTCAGACTGAGTGTCAGATAGAAGTTCAGGACATTTTCAGGTCTTCAACGACTGTGCTGAAGAAACACGCTCCTTTCCTTCCCGCCAGAGTTGTGTGTGGAGGCAGTTGGCAGCGGGGTTTCAGTGTTCTTTCACAGACTGTTTGTGCTCTGAGCTGATGTCAGATCCCCAGTTTATCCTACTTGCTCTCCAGTTTAGACCCTTGAGACACAAACACTAAGAGACCGTCCCTGGAGACAATTGCATCGACAGTCATAGGCTAGTCGCTCAGGGAGTTTAATTCCACTTATTCTAACATCTTTGATCCTCGCAGAGCTGTCAGTAAGCCGTGTGTGTGTGTCTCTCATTGTTATAGCAACTGTTGACTTGAAGAAGCAAATTTGCTCTGAAAGGTTTCTGCATCTTCTAACAAGGTCTTCAAACATATCACGTAAACCTCTAAAAGCTAAGGGCTTAGATAGTGTTCAGTGAAGAATTTTAAGTCTTAAAGTAGACTACATCTTGAGTCCCAACCAAACAGAATTTTTAGAGCATCTTCCTACCTTGATGTGGGACAGGACAGAATAAAGCAATGTGGTATTGCTGAGGGATATTTGATCTAAAGATAAGTGGTTTTATTTGATATCATTTTAAGCGAATGCCTAAAAATCATTTCTCATTTTCAGGCTTAACAAAATACACAAATCAAGATATTGCTCAGCATATGATGAAATGCACATATCCGAGCTAGACTGAGAAATCAGCCGGGTATTTTTGCGGATATATCGGTATCAGTGTACTTGTCGGCTGACAAGTAACAAGATATTGCAGGACAGAAACTAGGTTTGAGGTCAATTATAAACAGTGTCACCATCTCATAGTTCGTCTAGTAGTTTGGCTTCCTGCTCAATATCTTGCTCACTGTAAAAGAAAAGGGGATCCGTATCAAGATGGTTTGTTTATTTCATGTGTTTATGTAAAGAATATAAAGAATATTAAAATCCCAAATATCGAAATTACCGCCAGCCTCAGAAATCCAGTATCAGTTGGGCTATGACACTTATTTACTTTCTTTCTGACAGTGAGATAACGGAGGCATAGGGAAGCTTAATAAACAAGAGTTCATTGATGCACCCAGTACTTCTATGCAGTGTCTCTGGCTGGTTGTGGTGCAGGTTCCCAAATTCAGTTCATCATTCAATATGGGAAAACAACAAGAGTGTGGTAAGCAGCACACAGTCACTCACCTGGCTGTGGTTCCCCAAGAAATAGTTCCAGCAACTGCCCTTAAAATCAAGTTTAACTTTTTTGTTTATCAGTGTGTGGATTAAACAAACGCCATACAATGTGTTAATTTGTGAGCTTCAGATGAGCTGCTGCTGATGGACAGAGCCTAGCGAACTGTTTCCACATGCTTCCAGTCTTTATGTTAAGCTAACTACATTCTGTCTTCAGCTCTGTACTAAATGTACACAGGGTGTCTGCGGGCTCTTAAAAATGAAACCAGCATTTTCCTTCATATCCCTCATACTATTTTTTGTCAGTGTGGATGTGAAATGGGTCTTAAATTGCATTCAGAATGGTCTTAAAAAGGCAGCCATTGTAGTTTCTCCCATACACTTGGAACAGGATGGTGATGCGAGGGCATTGTAATTTGTATCTACAACGCCAAATGCCGCTAAATCCTTCACACTGGTCCTTTTTAAAAGTCTTAAAATGAACCTGTTGAAACCTACACAAACCCTGATTCCACACATGAGATGCATACCGTTATTCTCATTTTACTCTCACAATGACCGCATGTTGTTGTATTCCCAAAATTGCTGTACCAGTCCTTTAGAGGCTTTTTTGATTTGGTTCCTTTAAAAATGTTAGCTTTGTTAGCATGCAGTTTGCTTTGTTTCTAGTGAGCACAGCTTTCCAGACTTTGTTTCATGCTTTTTTTTCCCTTGCATGTTTAATTTCATGTAGATTTAATTTACTATAAATCATATATACTTTTTCTTTTAAATGTCTTATATGCATATGTTACCCTCCCAGGCAGCCATTGATTTCTATTTATTTCAATGTTTCAGTATTACAATGAACAGTGCTCATTTTAAATTTTGTGGTGTTAAAGTGCTGGTGGGAAGACAAATTCACATCTACATCTATTTCATGACATCCATGTTTTGTTATTGTCTGCAGGGCGTGTATTTCCATTGACACAAATGGTGAATGCAGTGCTGTTCAGCAGCCACCTCTTAAATGTGGAATGTCTGAGCTTCTCTCCAGCATTTGACACACCTATATGGAATATTTAACAAATCAGTTCACACTTTGAGCCATAACTGAGAATGATAGTTCACTGTTATAGATTACAGTTTCCAGCAAGTTTTAAGATTCTACGAGATTATTTAGGGTTTTGGAATGGCTCCTGATCAGCAGTTGCGTGTAAGGCAGACAAATACATTTCGCAATCTTTAGCAAGAATGTTTCAGAGCCTGGTTGTGTTGTTCTTTAACATCTGAAACTTGCATTGAATAGGTTTTGCATTCCTAATGATGTAAAAACATTTTCATAAGAGCTGAGCAGGCCCATTTATAGGAGTCAACACAAGTATGAATTGAATCTCCTCTTCTCTCTCTGTCTTTCTCACTTCCTGTCTCTGTCTCAGGCTTTCATCAACACAGCCAAGGAGATCTATGAGAAGATCCAGGAGGGAGTGTTTGATATCAACAATGAGGTGAGACACACTGTTCCCTCGCCTTTTCCTTCCTCCTTAAACCACTCCATTTTTGTATTCTTTCTTTTTTTTAGGCTGTCCTCTCCTCTCTTCCAGTCTTTGTTATCCTCTATTCCTCTCCTCTTTCTCCTCAGTGTGGTTTTCCAGCACTGTGTGTGGTTTGCCACGCTCCTTCTCTCCTCAAAAAGAGGGGGAAAAAACCCTCTTCTCTGCTTCCTTTGACTCCAGCCAAGCAAAACTCCCTGCGTTCCTCCCTGCCCCTGCTCTATTTTCCACTCACTCTCTCCACTCCTCAGCTCGCTCTCTCTCTCTCTCTCTCTCTCTCTCTCTCTCTCTCTCTCTCTCTCTCTCTCTCTCTCTCTCTCTCTCTTGGCATCTAGCCAGCTCATAAATTCCTCACATCCCACAAGGTCTCAGTCATTCGGCAAGAAAACAAACACTCAGCCAGCCAGTCAGTAAGTTTGCTATCCAGTCAACCAGATGGTTATCTTCTCAGTGGAACAGTTATCCAGGAAGGAAAGTCAAGACACCAAGCCTGTCAGCGTGTATGCACTTGCCAACAACTGTCATTCTTAGGGCTGCGTGATATGACAATATATATCGTGTGCCGAAAGAAAAAAAAAAATCATGTGCTGCAAATCACGTTCTTTATCGCAGCATTTGTTTAGTAATTCCGGGAGGAGAAGGAGAAGGACGCAGCAAATCTGAGATGCGGGCAGTTATTTAGAGGTCTGGAACAGGCTTGGCTAACAAGACCTTTAGTGTGGAATTACTCTTTACTATCTAGTCATCCAGGTGATCTTGTGAAGTCGTAAATTGTGACGTAAATCATGTCACAGTCCACACACACCATCCTTATGCAGCCCAAAGTTTGGGCCCGTGCACAAAGACTATATGCGCCAACAAACATGTGTGAACACGTCAGCCAATGCAGTATATAAACAGAACCGTGTGTGTTCACGTCTGTTCTGGAGTGAGCCAACCCGCCAGCAAGTAAAGTTAGTCAGACGGGACTGGAGTTAGCCAGCCAGTGAGTGTTTTTGTTATTAGTAACAGTAAGACGGAGTGAAGGCAGGCTGGCCGGCCAAACCACATCAGCTGACTGGCTGGGAGAGAGAGGGGGAAGCCCCACCAGAAATGTTGGCAGCCACTATGAGAAAAAACTCACACACACAGTCTTACACACACACATGGCCTTAGCTCAATAAATGTGATTTAAAGGCATACAGTGTTTCCCAGAGGCACTACTGCTACTGAGTGTAGGAGGGGGAGTTACACTGAGAGGGAGAGAGATAAATATATACAGAGGGAGAGAGCGAGGCTGAGAGTGTGCTACAGCCACAGAGACAGATGAAACAGAGAGAGAGAGAGATGAAAGAGCTGTGTCTCTCTACCACCCACCTGCCTTCCTCTCTCTGTTTCTCTTCTTTTATATGTGCTTCTCTTTTTTCTGCTCGTGTCCTTCAGTGCTGCTGGTGTTTCCTTTGCCTTTGTGCAACGCAGCAGCACCTGTTGCTTCCTCTATGATGTGATCTAATATGAGCCCCTGCAGGCGCTGTGCAATGTTAATCTCACCATGAAAGCAATGACACACTCATTCCTCAGTGTTTTTTCATTTAGTGAGTGATTATAATTCCTTTTTTTTTTTTTTTTGGCTAGACCTATAATTAAATTTTTTTTCTTGTCATTCAAGAGGAAAAAGGCCCAACAAGACTGTATTCATTACCTTTTACCTAAATGATAATCTGTCCATGGCTGTATTAACCTGTTCTCCAGGGGCAGACATTTGCTGTTGGGACCCCTTTGATCACCTACCTAGTCGCCTGCCCCCCTCTGTGCATCGTTTATACCTTGTTGCCTCCCAAGTTCTGATCGAGACTGAGTACCATCAGTGTCCAAAATTAAAATGTGCATATCATTCAAATTTGTCCACATGTTGACATTGAGCTAGATCTTTCCCTAGACATTAAAAACAATGCTGGAGGACTAGATGGAGGCCACAGACCCACACATGAAAGAAATTGAGGGAAAACTGTGTGATACAACTTTAATAAAGAAACTGAAAAGTTACTCATTTTGAGGGAATTCTTATGTTGTTTTCAAAATCTGATAATGTTCATAGGGATATTCATAACGGATAAAATGTCATATTGTGGAAAGAGGCTGATCATTTTTAAATGACTTGTATAAATGTATTGCATTGTTGTTATTACAATTTGTCATATCTAAATAGAGGCAATAACAGGGACGATTATGTTTGTTCTTATATTCTTCAACAGCACAAGTAGATGAGCTAGCAAGGGTACCAAAAACTATCCTCCTTTGGCTGTGTCGGTCAGTCAAGTGACCCTCGCTTCCAGGTCATAGCACTCCGTGTCCCGTAGCCCATGAGTCTAGCTGGCTGCTGGCTGGAGACATATTTGTACCATGACTTTAAATGTGTCTCTTATCTGGAGCCGTTTATACTGTGGCAGAGGATAGTTATGTAAAAGTGTATGGTGCAACACAGCTAATATGATAGCTTCAACTATTTTGGACTCCCCAGTCCTGTCTTGCCTCACACATCAGCTCTGTCAAAATGGTGTGCTCTTCTGATTCTATTGGTCAACAGGGCAGATTGCAAGTCTCTTTGTAAATTAAAATTAGTTTGTGGTAATTTGATTAAACCAGCTTCATGTAGAAATATTAACCACATTTCTTTTGGCCACACGTATAGGTTATAATACAGGGCCCACTATTGTAAAACAACTTAAAATCTGTTTTTTAAACTTATTTAAGGAAGATATAATATTAACCAAAGGACAAAGAGTTTTTCAGTTATCTTATTGAAAAATTGAGCTCTGCAGTATGTATGAATTAGTTTAGAATGGGGAAAAAACATCATCTGTGAGGTATTTTATGTTACAAAATTACAAAGGTGAATTGGACCATGAAAGGTACCGGTAGCCGAATTCAGCACAACCCTAAACACAACACAACACAACCCTAACCCTACTTTTTTGGCCTTTTTAATCCCTTTTAACAAGGACATTTTCTTTTTCAGTCAAATTGTAGAAAATGCCCATAAAATATCTCAGTCCACAAAAATGACACACTTTACTTAATGATAAGTCAATTTTTGACTGTCATAGTCTGTGTTTTCTTAATGATAATACCGAGGAACATTGTAGCGGAGACTTTAGGATTTTCATCACTCCTGAGTCAGATCTTTTTATAATGTTGTGCTGTTTTGTTTTTTCCATTTCTATATCTTTCTATGTCTTTGTCTCCACACAGGCTAACGGTATTAAGATTGGACCCCAGCATCCTACCACCAACTCCACGCTGTCCGGTAGCCAGGGAGGCCAACAGGCTGGAGGCGGCTGCTGTTGAAGCCCCAAAACACACCACCACCACCTCCTCCTCCTCCTCCTCCAACCCAGCCCCTCCTCCTCCTCCTCCAACCCAGCCCCTCCTCCTACTCCTCCTACTCCTCCAACCCGGCCCCTCCTCCTCGTCCTCTTCAACCCTACCTTGCGTTTCTACAGAACTGTCCAGGCTCACTAACAGTTTGTTAACCTCTCTCTCTACCGCTCCATTCTTTCATCCATCCATCCCTTCCTCTCTGTGTCTTTCTCTCGCTTTCTGTCTATCAGCCAGTGTCTGATAGCCTGTAGCCTAAGGGTCTACAGGCTATGTCCCCATTAATCAATCTGACTTCCTACAGACTTGGGAGGACAGACAGACTTAGGAGGACAGAGTCAGCTTCACCTGCAGATTTAGCCACTAAATTCTGGCGTTTTGCAGTTCACCTTTTTTTGGTTAGATAAATGGATTTTAATCTTTTTATTTAAAAAAAAATGCTGGATTGTGAAGAATTCTAATCCAGCAGTTTAATTTACATACTCCTCTTAATTCAGGAGGATGTTATTGGGATATTACAGTACCTCAGAATCATAAAAAAAAACCTATATCTTTTGTAACGGTGAGTTGACTTTGTCCAGATGGAGGCAGGATTGTGGGTAGAGATTAAACACACTCTAAACAACTGACTGTATGGAATAAACCGTGCACCATGTTGTGTCTATACACACATCTGTACATGTTTTTGAAGAAAATGACGCAGCACGTTGATAGCAGGACATGTTCTTACATGTTGAGTCAGTTTTCATGCTGTGCCTGTGTGTGTATAGGGATGATATAGGTGTTCCAGTATGTCACTTTGTAAGGTGTAGGAGGCATTCAAGTCACTCTGTATTTTCTGTCCATAAAAAACAAAGTGCAAATTATGTTATTTTGTGCTTCCTTTCCCTATTTTTCATCGTGTATTTTATTCTCTCTCTGTCTTTGTGTCCTTTTTTGTTGACTTGCAGATGATTTGTATTTAATGAACACTACAAACTGGTTGTGGCTTAAAAAAAGTGTTTTAAATTGTCTGGGGAGAGAATAAAAGACCAAACTGTTGAGTGTGAAAATGGATCCTTTTTGGAACATCAGAAAAGAAAAGCGGGAAAGTTAAATAAACGTTAAGGGGTGTTGAGAGCAGTGGCATCATTATGAAGTTAAGAAGTAAAAAGAGGAAAATAGATTGGAAATTTCTTTTTGTTAACTATATTTATCTGCACATTTCTGTGTATATATGGCTCTTTAGGTTTCTGTAGCTTTTTTGGCTGTATTAAGGTGAAGCTTGTCATGTTGTTGTGGTCTTGTTATATCTTTACCAGGGGCTGGTAAAAGACCATTTTGGACTTTGAAACAGCTTTTTAGCATTTTTAACAATTCTCATTTAAACCCAAAGGTACTGAGCCGCCCTGTTACATTAGGGCTGCTGGTGCCCTTTCTTTTAAATGACAAGTATGAATGATAACAGGCTGTTAACAGGACCGCATAGAGGCATTGAAAGTCCCTGGTGGAGAACAGACTCCAACTGAAAATGTCAAGCCGTCTCCCTTTTTAAGCAAGCTAGAATTTCCACCATGAATTAGCTGGCAGATATATAATGTATACTGTTTAGAGCTTGATCGATGACTGCTGCAATGTTTTTTTGCTTCGAGATCCCCCCCCCGCGATGTAATAGGCACCATTTTAATGTTATGATCATATTTTACTACTTCAGTTACTTATTGTTCATCCTTCCTTCTCATCCCGCCTCTTCTCTCTCTCTATCTCTCTCTCTCTTCAGATTGTGTGGTAACATTAGCTCTGTATCTATTTTTAATGCCAAATTACTGTGTTAACCTGTGTTTTGTCAAAAAAAAAAAAAAAAACGAGGAAAAGAATCAACTAATCCCCCGATATTCTTTCCTGAAATCAGCTGTCTGCCTTAACTCCACCCCCTCTGAGAGATTTGGACAGCTGCTAAAATGAATCCAACTGACCCTTTATCTGCAGATTGGCATTTTACCACTGACTAGCTAGTTGACGATGCATTACACATGCATAGACGCACACTTAGAGAGATATGTAAAGTCATAGGAACAGGCCTAGTTTGAATTCTGTGTAGGAATTTGGGCATTTGAAATGAATCTAAACTTATGTTTTTTTCTTTCCATCCCCCCCTTGTGCACACACACCCAGCCTGCATACAGTATATGCATGCATACGTACATGATGCATACATATATTTCTGTTTATCTAACTTAGCTGTTTTTTCTCCAGGTTAACTGTATAACTGTAGGGAGTTTTTGGGTTTCACAGCAGTGCGAGTGAATCTGTTTTCCTCTGCAGTGTGTTCTTCTCTTATTTTTCTTTCTTTTTTTATTCCTAGATATATACAGACAGTTATTAATCTTATTCTGATGATGATTATTCTTTGTAAAGCAAAATGTAGTGTGCGTGCGTGCGTGTGTGTGTGTGTGTGTGTGTGTGTGTGTGTGTGTGTGTGTGTGTGTGGACCCAGAGGGGGGAGGATCAAGCCAAACCTGACGCATCTATCTTATCTATCTATCTATGGATTGATCTATCTATCTTATCTATGTGGCCCTCCTCTCTCGCTCTTCCCGCCTCTCCTCCTCCTCCTCCCCCTCAACGTTATTTGCTGTGTTTGTTCTTTGGAAAAAATAAAACTTAAAAAAAAGAAAAAATGAAAATGCTATCACAATAAACTATAATAAAACATTCTAAACTCTAAACATGTCATTGATGGTTATGTGGAGATGGAAAAATAGTGTTTGAAAAAAAAAAACGAAAAACATACCCCAACTGTATTTGTATTTTCTGTCATGTTTTTTTGCCACCCAGCCTGCCCATGCTGACTTTTCACTGTATGAATGAATCAATCATAATGGGTCCACATGCTGTTTTACTCTATCTGATTTATCCATTAAAATAAGCAGGGAGAGACTCGCGTGCTCTTGGATCCGTGCCGTTCGACCTTCAGCAGTCATGGAGATTGTATTCCCTGATGAAGGTCAGCGAGACTGAGAGCCTGCTTGATGAATGAAACATTTTTGAACTCATGTGTAGTCAGGGAAGGTTTGCATGTTCAGTGTATATGCAGGAGCTTTTTAGCAATGCCCTTCATTAAATTCCTACGTTTGCAGGAATGCACCACAATTTGGGACAGCATTGTATGTAAATGTGTCAGCTGGGAGGCTGCTTGAGGCATTTCTAATCCTGCACACTTTATTAAGTTCCAACTAATGGTTGGCTTTATTAATGACCAACAAATAATTGATTAATGCTTTTAAGATCCTGTTCCTTAGCCTAGTGTTTATCCTCTTCTAGTATGACATCTGCTTCTTAGCTTTTTAGCTAGCTCATTAGTTCATCAGGAAAACCATCCAATGGACAGTTTAACCAGTTCACTGCCACGCTAGCAGCACTGGGAGGCTGTGCTATGAGTTACATGCTAACATGCTGATTAGCTGGATTATCATCCATCTTCCATCTTAGTTTAGCATTTTAGCATGATCACATTTTCTAAGCAGAACTCAAAATAAGCCGCTGAGGCTGATGGGAATATCATTAGTTTGGTCATATACCACAGTATGAATGAACTGGACAAATGACATTTTTCATCTGATGATTGTGCTAAATGAAAAGTTAGAGGATTACATGGGACTCCATCCAGTAGTTAGATAAAAGTATGTGTATGTATGAATGATGGATTATTGTTAAGCATCCTTCAATAACAACATATTACCATTTCTAACTGCAAATGATTTACTGACTCGTTAGTTGCAAATAGTAAACCCTGTTGTCTTAGCAATTGCATTCCATGTCATGTGAATGGTCGTTACCTCCGGTTTAAAGGGTTGGTTCACTCAAATTGCAATGAAAAGACTTTCACACTGTGCATATAGTTCTAGTTTTACTTGATCAGGTTTTAAGATGAGCTTTCTGAAACTGTCCCCAGTCCCTCCAGTCCATAAACTACATTCTCTTTCCCATTTTCTCAATTTGGCTGAACTGACCCTTGATGGTTGTAGGTCATAATTTTACCATTACACTATGACCAACAAAAAAATGAGTTTAGTCTTGTGAAGTCTTTGAAATGTAAAATGTCTACCTCCTGGATCATACACTGTAAAACCAGATTAAAAGAAATACAGGCTCTACAGCCTTTATAGTGCTCCAACTAGCATCTATACTAATGTAAAGCTTACTGACACTTAAAAAACTTAAAGCTATGAAATATAACGGATTCACCCTTAGCAGCCTGGATGCTACTGACCACAGACATACAGACAGCAGCTGAAGAATTACAGTAGCAGTATAGTATTTAACAGTGATACTGGCAGTGAGTACCTGCCAGTATACATTATCAGCTCCTCAGGCCACCGGTAAAATAGACACGTGTCTTCATTCCAGAGTTACATTATTTTCATCCCACACACCTGTTTATACTCCTAGAGCCAGATCACATGTGAATGATGCTGTCTACACTGGCGGGATATTTAGCCATGCGTGGCTCTAGGTGTGGCAGTGTTCGTGCCACTTTGGTCCAGACTGAAACGTCTCAACAACTATTAAATGGATTTCCATGAAATTTTGTACATCCATGGTCCCCAGAGGATGAGTCCACCGATTTGACTTTTCCTTTAGCTGTAGCCTGAGGTTGACATTTGTGGTTTTAAGTGAAACTGTCTCAACGACTTTTCGATGGATTGCTATAAATTACATTTCAATTTATCAAATACTTTCATTTATGACTGAATACCTGCACAACTAATGGCATTCCCACCAGCCTTGGGCGTACCTGTGTTTACCTGCATAGCATCAGCATGTTAGCATCACGGCAACATGCTGCTGTTAGCATTTAGCTCAAAGCACAGCCTCACGGATGACATGCAGCAAAGGGCCACAGGTCGGATTTGAACCCATGGTGTAGAGAAATGCAGTAAAAAGAAAATACTCCAGTAAAGTACAAGTACCACTTAAGTGAGGCTGACCTTAGCTGATGTTGCTTTATTGTCTTATAAGCCCATAAGAGCTGGGCACTGAAATAAATAAAATCATTCAGTCAAAAAAAACACTTAAGTAAATGTATATTCCATCAATGGGTACCAAAAGGGAATATCACTGCAGTCACCAAATGTTTGAAAAGCAAAGTCATTATCAGCTCATTGTGAGCTACTTTCCTGGAAATACCTCTCCTGGAAAAGTTTTATTTCTGCACAGAGCTGAAGAAAAAGACTCGATAATGGGAAAATAAACATCAAAATGCTGTAAAAGTGCGAGCATCTACTGCACATTAAAAATTGAAACTTCATTGTTTTCTACCTTATCAACCCTTGTTACCCTAACCCATGTTAGCAAACAGTGGATAAGGGTCCATTTATAGTGTATGAAGGAAATGAATGAGTTGTCTGTCTGTGAGTAGCTTTACAGGCAGATTAAGCTTTTGGTAATGCAGTCTAGACTTTCACATCTGCACTTTCAACTTCTTAATCATGCTATGATAACAGAACTGTGAGTGTAATAAAAGCACACACAATGTTCACGCTGATGGATTACCTTACTCATGCAAGTTTCAAGTCTCTGCATGTTGATTTTCAAAACATACTGAAATGATCTGAAAGCAGGGGCCGTCTGGAAGGGAGGGAAATATGTTCAAAAATCAGTCAGCAGAAATGTAAAGTATGTTGTATGTGGTGAATGGGAGACAAAATGCAGAAACACAACGGTCCGTGAGAATGCAGTGAGAATGACTTCCATGTAGAAAATATCTTTTCTCATGAGAAAAGTATGTTTATCTCAGCGTTTTCTATCCATGGTTTTCACAGTGGGGTCCTGGAACACCCAGGGTTCATGGAGAGCGGTGTGCTAACTATACTACGGTTTTTGGGGGCGCTTACTTTTGAGGGGGGCCATTCAATCAATATCAATATTTTAGAGACCCCCTCAAAATTGCACAAACCATGTTTTCAGCGGAGCCTGTGTTCGAGCTCCCCCTGGCTCCCCTGTAGTTCGCACCCTGCTTGAGACAGTTCCAGGGGGTCTCTAGCTAAAAGGGGGAATCATTTATTTTCACTATAACTCCGTCCATAAGTAACCCAGTGACAGAATGTGTGACTGCTTTACATGGGTTTCATACACTTTCTTTAATATCTTTAAGCAAAAATCCTATCCGACAAAATCTTATCAAATGGGGGTTTGAAAAGTTTGAAAACCACTAATACAACTTATACATGTCTGTGTTAGGAAGAATGTGAAATGTGCTGTTCTTTCAGAGAAAGGGGGAAGTCAAAAAGTAGACAAAGTGTGTGTGTGTGTGTGTGTGTGTGTGTGTGTGTGTGTGTGTGTTTAAAGGCCACTCTCCTGAGGGCCAGATTGTTACGATAAGCAAATAACTGATCGTGTCAGGGACATCCGCATTACTGCCAGTCTCTCATGTGCATCATCATTTCATTTTAGGTCATATTCAAACAGAATGGCAGAGTGCATCATCTGTACTTTTTTTTTTTAATTGACAATATCCTTCTTTATGGTTGTGTTATAATTGCCATGGTACTGAACCAACTTTAGTGTAACCCTGCCACTCCTCATAGCCTCATATGGTCATCAGCATACAACTCCTATTGTGGAATATAAGATATAATGATTTGAGAAGTAAAATAAATTAACTTTAAGATACACACTTCTGGTCTAACTCGGACTCTAGCCTGAACTTTAGCATTTAGCTCTATACTCCCGTAACACTGTCAGACTTATGATGGGCAGTTTTGAAGAAATGATCCAAACGCAGCAGAACCAGAGAAATCATTTGTATTCCATGTATTTTTCTTCCTTGTCAAAATCTGCCACCTACATTACCCACAATGCAACACGACTCGATTCACGTGACTGTACTGATCTGGTAGGTTATGCTTGTAGCCTTGAAACGCTATAGCCTCGAGCAGAGATGTGGAGCAGATGTCTCATAAGCTCATTTCTTTCAAACTCAATACCAAAAGACTTTTGTTGTTTTCAAACCGCCCTGACTCAAACCAATGCTGACTCAAGTGACATCACTTGAGGACGTTTATCAGATTTCACACAGCTCCCTCTAAACCTACAAAAAGCTTTGTACAATTCCTTTCACAAATGCACTAGTACTCCCCTACTCCTGTAAACAGACACTGATGTATAAAATAGGTGGAATATGAACCTATCCTTTAATTAATGTAAAAACAAAACATTCAGGTATGACAGACTAAAGGCATAAATGGTGCTAAGTGATTTCATTTTTCTACTAATCCATGCATACATGGACAGTTTCAATGCTAGATGCATTCTGTATACAGGACTTATAAATGTATGCATTCATGATGTTCAGAGAAAAGAAACTTATTTTACATTACAGACCTACTCATCTCTTTTATAATCAGCACACAAACATTCAAATACAGTTTCCATTTCCTGCTGGCTTGACATTTTTCCTGTTTGCACAATCATGGCAATAAAGATTCTTTGACCCAGTGGAGGTCTGGGAGGAAAGATTAAAGACCTCATTACTGACATTTCATTAATTTTGGTCTTATTGCAGTCATTTTATTCACAACATAAACTTTTAACAAACTGTTTAACAACGGATGTCCCTAATACATACATAGGTGCATGCAGTATATACATTAGTTTGGTGTCTGGGGCATTTAAAAGACTGGGAATGTTTGCAGGGGCGTATCCAGGGGGTTATCTGCCCAGTCAGAGAGTATTTATAGTTACTTTTTATTTTAATTTCGTTTTTAATTTTTGTTTTTAATTCAGTTTAGTTTCAGTTAGTTTGCAGAGTGGATTTGATTGTCTCAATTTCCGTTTCTATTGTTTAAAATGTTTAATTTTAATTTAGTTTTTATTAGTTTAGTTAGTTTTTGTTTTTTATTATAATATGGGGTGTTTGTCAGAATAAGTATTACAATACAAACACATTGACTCAGTAATTTAGACATTAGAATCTCAATAAACATATGCACCAATGCCTCCTCATGCTTGCTGTGTTGACACATGTGACCACATTGACAAAGACTGAAACTAAAGACATTTATTATGTATATATTTTTTAGTTAGTATATAGTTCCAGCTTGTTTTGTTTTCGTTATATTTTTTTTTTATGTCTGTTAACTAAAGGAATGTAAGAAACTGTAAGATACTGTAATGTTAGTTAAAGAAGATATGAGAAATGGTAAATTATACGTATTTCATGCCACCCCTGCGTTGACCATCCCAGTCAAAAAAGTCTGGATACGACACTGATCGTTGGCGTTCCCTGACCATACACACACAGGAAGGACGCACATTCAAGGACCAGTGTGTAGGATTTAGGGGCATCTAGCGGTGAAGATTCAGACTGCAACAAACTGAACACCGCTGGCGTCTGTATTTGACGACCTGGTAATGTGAAGTGTGTAGGAGAAACTACAGCCAGTGTTTGGTTTGTCCATTCTGGGTTACTGTAGAAACATGGCGGACTCCATGAAAGGTGTCCCGCAGTGTGTGTAGATAAAAACAGCTAATTCTAAGGTCACAAAAACACAATGATTCCTATTTCCAGGTGATTACACACTAATGAAACAGCTATGAATATTATATTCCATTTCTGACAATAAATCATCTAAATGTTACATCTTTCTATTTCTATTTCCAAACAAAATGTCTATTTCTCATGGATATAAAGGAAAGACCCAAACCAACATCAAACACTTATTTATCTATTGAAATATTAAATTAACAAATAGGATTTATAACTTGTGCATCGTGATAAATGAAGACACATATCACTAAAACATGTTCCCTGCCCAAGAACAGCTCTCTCCTGATCTAGGGCTTTCTGCTCTCTCTTGTGTTATCATATCTTTACATTAAAACAATTCAAAAGAAAGTATTGTATTAAACACCAAACCACAGCCCAATTGACGGCCATTAATATTTCTTTACCATCCCTACATGAGAACTCACAGAGAGCGTCACACGGGCACGACGGGGTCAGTGACCGCGCACGCCGCCTGTTTATCTGTATGAGAGGTCCTCGGGAGCGCGCCCCCCCTGGCCGAGGAAGGTGAGCGAGTGTCTGGAGGGGAGGACTCGGGAGCGCGACCAGCCGAGGGATCGATCGGATTAAACTCGATTTGAGTGAAATTAACACAAAGGAGAGAAGAGCAACGCACACTAGTCGGCGAGGTCGCGGATGCGAGACACGCCGGAGAAATATCTCATGAAAAACAAACTTGAACTTTTTTTCTTCTGTTTATTTATATTTCAAACGAAAAAAGGACCACGGTGGATTTTTTTTTTCCAGCAAGCGGAGATACTAGCCCTACTAACGAGGAGTTGATTTGATAAAAAGCCCGAAGTGACCGAGCTTGTTGGGTAAGCTAACAAATGCCCTTTTGAGTGAGTGCATTTTAATTTTTATCGAGCACAATTCAGCGCTGGTATGATGGTTTCACAGTGGGCGCTGATTCTGAATTAAAACCGTTCAACTTGTATTGTTTCATAATAGTAAGTTTTCCATACTTTTTCACCGCAATCGGACTCTTTAATCCGGCGTGCGAGTTGGCTTTTCATCCCGATGGGCATTTCATTCAGCGCTAACTCACTGGAAAGCTTATGTTCGGGACTGCTCGTTTATTCGGCTTCTGTTTTATTTTCTCATTTCAGCAGAAAGTCATTGAAGGTCCATGTAGCTGCCATGCCGACATGCTAACAATAGCAAGTTTAGCTCTGCCACCCGCTGCATCGCTCACTCACATACACACACACACACACACACACACGCACAACAGTCCCAGTAGTTAGTTGAAAAGTGGAAAGAAAAATGTCCAGCACCACACGGAGAGCGTCTCTGTTTCGGGGTCCGTTTGCCCGACAACTTGTTGAATTTTGTAAAATGAAATATTGACGTGATTCAGTTTTAAAGTGTGAGTGTTAGCCCAGTTAGCTAATTGTGTTGAAGCTTCTAGGAGACACGAGGTGGCTCGAGCGTAGAGGTGAGTCACTGGCCGACTGAATGAGCGGAGCTCTGAGGGAGATTCCCAGCGGACAATACTTGGCATATATCGCCGAAAACGCTTGGCTTGGGTTGAATTAAAGTGTTTCTACACAAAAGTAAACACAATAGTTGCATTTCCACTGAATATCTGTGTTTTAATCAGAAGGGGATAGAGTGAAGTGTTCGTAGTAGTCGCTAGTTTTATTGGACGGAAGGGACAGAGCAGTGGAGGAGAGGAGGGGGGAGCTGAGAGGCCAGGCGGTCATTCCATACAACCGTGTTTTTCACGTTGTTTTTACCACGTTTTACATTGTCAAAACCCTTTAAAATGAAACAAAAAGGATTGTCGTCCTTGTGTGCAGCTTTGGCGCAGAGAGAAAAGTGTTTTACTTGAATAAAAACCGAGATGAGTGAATCGCTCCCTGGTCCGGAACGACGTGCGAAATACCGCTGATAGGCTAATTAGCCGTGCTAGCCGCTGGAGGTTAGCCCAGTGCTAGGACACAGAAGTTCAGCTAGCCTGCTAGCCAGCTCTCATCCCCATTGTGTACGGGCGAAGACCACTTACTGCCCCCCCTCCTCCCCGAGCTAGTTGGTAACCTGCTCGGGGCGGTTATCAGTCGGTGCATTGCTCTCGGGCAAGGAAATCAACTTTACGCTTCTCTCGCTTCACTTTTTATCGAGGTTAACACGCAAAGTAACTCTACGTCTTTTCCGCGTTTTGGCTTTTTATGAGAGCGTGTTTGTGTGTTACATTGTGTCCGGCGACCGAAGTTTGGTAACCACTACGGCTACACTTGTTACTCGACGTGGACGGGAGAAAACGCTGCTCAAAACACCTGCCGGTATCCAGGCACTTCTCGCTAGTTACAGCAACACTTTGACTTCACGGGATACACAAACGGTTGTCTTTTTTTCTTTCTTTACAGTCTGACTTTATTCCGTGTTACTTGTGCTATCCTGCCCTCTTTCCCCATTATGTGTCTGTAATCGGTCAACTTGCATAATGGTCACCCTGCCGCTCTCGCGCAACTTTGTCGGCGCTCTATATGAGAAAAACGTGGAAAAAAAGTGTTTTATCCACACTGTAGCCATCCGTTCTCACACAGAGGTTTTATTCACAGTCTGACACATTCACTGTGCATGTGCGGGGTCGTTATTTTTCCTCCCCCTGTCTGCCATGGAGCCAGGAGCTGCTACAACCCACATCCCCCACAACCTTGTGTTTGTGAGCCAAGATGGCAGCTAGTCCTGTTTAGCGGGCCACAGAGGGAGAGATAAGAGGCCCCGACCACACACAAATACACACAGCACAACAGATGTTCAGCACTATTTGGTCTCTCTCCCGTTCGTCTCTGTCTTTTCTTGTGGTTAAAGTTGAGAGCCCCCCTTCAGCCTCAATGCTTGGTTTGGTAGAGAGGCAGTTGGTCTGGACTAAGCTGGATCTTGGAGACTAAGTTAACCCCCATCCCCCATTTGAATTGCATGTAGTGTAGTAGTTAAATATTTTAAATTTACAAATTTGTAAATGGCTTCATTCAGGCAGATTAGTGGTAGTTTGGTTCCTTTTAGGAGTGCAGCTATTTCTTTTTTGGTCCAAACTCAAGCAGGCTGTCCAGTAAGTTTTCATGGTGACCTTGGAGTTGCTTGTCTTCATCTTAGCCTTGATGGGACATGGAAGAAAACTGGTGCAAAATAAATAACTCAAACATGTGAAACTTTAGGAAGTGTCTCAAAATCAGACGTTGCATAAAAGAGGAACAATTACTTTGCTTTAAATTATTTCTTGGGTGTAATGTGTTAGACCCATTTAACTGCCTAAAGCAAAACCTGGCCCCTTGTTCCTCTTTTGAAAATATTACAACATTTTGTTTGTCCTTTTGTGCTCCATACCACAAAGCCTAAAATATGTAGATTTTTTGTCACACTTGGAAGTTTCTTGTCTCTTTTATTTCCATTGCTGAACATGTTGTACATGTTCTCTCACACGCCAGGGAAGTCCCTGCCACCCTACACTCGGGGTAAGGTATGTGGATACACACAGAAGTGCAAAGATTGACAGTTAATTGAGAGTTCACAGGATGATGCAATTGAATTTCCAGTGTAGTTCTTTTCTGAACACTCTCAAACTAACATTTCTTCATTACATTCAGCCATGCCACGACTGTGTCCATTCATCCACTTTCCACTTTCAGAAGAAGGAAAGAGGCACTTTGTTTGGAACAGGTGTCCATCAATGTGTCATGTTTTTGAATAAGTTGTTCCCTGTTATTCTGACCTATGAATCATTAGTGTGATCTGCTTTGGTTATCTGAACATTTCACTCAGAATGTGCCACCTTCTACTGACCTTTTAACCGCCGCTCACTGTTCTCATGCTGGTTCAGGATAGCTCGGAGACTGCTAAAGTTAAAGACTAGAAGCCAAAGGCAATATAGGTGTGTTTGTGACAGCACTATAACTTGTAACGGACAACACTGATATTGTTTTGCTCTGCTAGTGATCAGAGTATCCACCAATGTGTCTTGCTGGTTATCTTTTGTACGTATGCAAACACACTCTATATACTGATATTGGTCGTATGACTTTAGAAAGTCTTTTCCCCCCAGGTTAACTTGTGAGTCATGCCGTTTCCATCGACAGAATCCCCATCAGTCCACTTGTATTGCGGCAGGTTAAACTTTAAGCATTAGCTCGCATACATGGCCCATTTAGGTGACGTAGCGATTCAAATAAAGGTTCAATATTTGCCAGTAAATGGAGCAAATGTTTTGTCAATTTGTTGTTTTTTCATCCTTATAGTTTGAGGTAAAGTGACTTGACTGTCCTTACTTACTATGTATACTACTTATGTGAGGACAGAGTGGTACATGGGTGAAGTTACGGTGACATTCCTAAAAAGATGCTGCAGCTGAACATCGAGCAGCCTTTTGTGCTTCTCATAGATAAATTGAAAGCTGCGGTCTGATGAATCTATATTATTGATTTCAGCCTTTATAAGGTTAAAGTTGCAACTACATCTTATGCCCTATGTCTCTGTTCTTAAAACAAGGTTAAAGGTTGTTTTTTTTTTTGCTGAAAGTTTTTGGTTTGATCTTAAACATGGCTGATGAAAAACAGTTTATTGGCGATACATTATAATTTGGAGTCTGAATTGTCGTTTGAGGTTTTTTCTGAAGCCTTTTCCAAACGGCAGTTCTTTTCCCAGTCAGAAATCCAATTTCAAAAGTAATCACAAAAACATTCCCGCATTGTCACCAGGGGAGGAACGTGGATTTTGGAGGCGGGTGACACTGACTGCCAGGCTTAAAGGCCACCATAGAACGGACCCATTGTTCCCTCTGTCGGGCGGATAGCACCTGATGCTGCAGTGCTCCTGTTGGACAGTTAGGAGTTGAAAGCCTGGTGTTGGGTGTCTGAGCCTGAGCACTGGTGTTTGTTAGGGTGGCCATTTTGTCTCCTGTCATCATGTGTCGTGGATGGCAGCCCTGTTAGCAGAGAGGAGAAGTGGTGCTGTTGTTTGTCTTCAATCGCTTTCATCTTGCCATCTATCGCTCCACCTCCGCCCCTCGCCCACCCACCCAACCACCCACTCCCTCTCTGCCCATGCATGAGCTCCCTCCTCTTCTTTCTACTCTTCATTCTCACCCTTTCCATCTCTTTCTTTCTGTCCCTCTCTCTCCATCTTTGCCTCCCCTCCCCTCCCTCCAGTCCTCTCATTTCCAGCCAAAAGGTTAGCGGGGGTCTTTAGCACCGTGGTGACATTCAAAACTGAGTGTCATCACTGTCTCTCTCGCTCTCTCTCATCCCTCCCTCTCACCTGTCTCTCCCTCTGCCCCCTCCTCCTCCTCCTCCACACTCCCCCATCCCCCCATCCTCCTCCTGCAGCGAGGGCCTTCTGGACCAAGTGCTGTGCCTAGAAGAGAGGTTGGCGTTAATACAGCTCTCAAGTGTTTGTGTGTGGGCTGTATGTGTTTTCTGTGTGTGTGTGTGTGATGGAGGAGACGGCCTGTCAAGTACATCTCTGACCCGTATGTGTGTGTGCCTTGTAATCTATCCTTGACCTCTCCCGGCATCGATGTGTGGCATATCCTGTTTTTCCTCTCCATCCTCCGGCTCTCATACACATCAAACCTCGCCGCCGCTGAGGAAACAAATAAGCAAAGCTAAAACCCGGGACACTCCACTGGAAATATGTGGGAGTTTTTGTGTCATCAGCTGCTGATGAATCCCATTGCTGAAAAGTGGCGCCACGAAAATCTCATCAGCGCCCCCCCCTCCAGTTTAGTGGCACTGTTGTGGCATGCACGCATCCCTCCTCCTCTCCTTGTTCCCCGTCACCATTTCTGTCCTCGAGTGATTCACATTGGCTGATGAAAGGTTAAGTGCTGCTTGCTTGTGGA